CGCACACGCACACGCACACGCACACGCACACGCACACGCACACGCACACGCACACGCACACGCACACGCACACGCACACGCACAAGATGAGGCTGGACGAGAATACAGATCCCAACAACCTGACGCCCAAAACATTTCAAAAGTTGTTGTTGCAGCAAGCTTCGCCGGATGATGATGACGATGATGGCCGGCGTGCCAGCAGCAGCAAGCCCTGCCACGCCCAGCACCACCGCCCTCCTCCTCCATCCGCTGCTCCTCTTTCTTCTGGCACAATGCCAAACAGCATGGCAGACACGACGATGTTAGCGCTGCCAGATCTGGGCGAACAATCAACCACGCAGCTCTTGGACATGGACTGGTCCATCCGACTAGCACCCGCCACCCCACCACCCGGTTCTCCGCCCAAACGCAAGCTCGATGATATGAGCATCAGTCCTGTCAGAGCAAAGGTGGCGGCAGTGGGAGAGGGAGAGAGGAAGAGCTTGTTTGGGTATTGGTCCATTCCTGAGAAGAGCAAGCGGGGGAGCGCGGGGATGAGAGGTGCATCGCGCTCGCGCGAGCATGAAAATGTCGTGCCATCGAGCAAAGCGGCAGCGGCGGCGGCGGCGGCGGCAAAGAAGCAGCATCATCGCGCATCTGATGACTCGCAGGAGCGCACAAAGGCGAGCGTCAAGGCGAAGGCGAAGGCGCAGCAGCAGCAGCAAGAGATCGAGTTGGACCTTTCGGCGATGAGCGAAGAAGAGTTGGAAGCGCTGGCGTGGGCGACGCGTGAGCGCGAGTGCGAGCGCCAGCGCGAGCGCGAGCGCGAGAAGCAGAAGGAAAGGGGACAGATGGCTCGTGATGGTGGGCGCTCTGCCAACGAGTCCAGCAAGCACAAGCACGAGCAGGCTGATGAGCCTGTTATGCAGCGACTCGTCGTCGAGCATGACGCTAAAGCGACCGATAAGCGGCGCAAGGAGAGCAAGAGGGAGAGCAGGGAGTACGCTTCTAGAACTCGACGCGGTGCAGAGGGGCACGCAATGGGAGCATCGACAGCATCCACAACGACGCAGGAGACTGCTTGGTCGGGCACAAGTACCGGTGCTGCGCGCACGCTCAACCACGAAGCGTCAGCGTCGGCGCCCGCGCCAACGTCCCCGCCGATGCAGGAGCAGGAGCAGGAGCAAGAGCAAGAGCAAGGAGAGGAGAAAGCCTCAGAGGAGCATCTGCGTCAAGGCGCAACTCGACGACGAGCAGCAGCAGCACAACAATCTCAAGCTGGAGATGTTCTGATGCCTACTCGTCGGTCCGTGGGTGCTCCGTGCATGCCTCGCATCTCGGAGACTTCGGAGACTTCGGAGCATTATTCCCACGAATCGTGCAGTGCTGCTGCAGCGCATGTCGACCGTTCAGCAGCAGCAGCAGCAGCAGCGCTCAAAGAAGCGCAGGTGCAGGAGCAGGTGCAGATGCAGGCGCGTTGGGATGAGCCTAGCGGGCAAGAGGCATCTGCCGAAGCGGTCGTAGGGGCGGACGAGCTACGAGAAGGTTCGCATGCAAGACGAAGACGTTCGAAAGACGCAAAGAAGAGCCAGAACAGCAACATCAGCAGCAGCAGCAGCAGCAGCAGCAGCAGCAGCAGCAGGAAGAGGGAGACTCGTTCGCCAGGCAAACGCTCGCCGAGAAAGTCCATCATGCCTGTTTGGAAGATGGAAGGGGATGGGGAGGAGGAGATGGAGATGGAGGAAGAGCGCGGGCGAGAGGATGCGGCTGCTCCTGCCTTGCCTGATGCGGAGCTTTGGGCTAGACTGTCCGCCGGCAGGAAAAGTCTTGCGGAGGTGCCGCAAGAAAAGAGGAGCACGCTCGATATCGGCCCCGAGATGGAGGCGATGAATGAGCCCAGCAAGAGGGAGAAAGAGCTCCATTCGCGCGCCGCGAAATCGTCGAGCAGCAGCAGCGAGAAGACGACGAGGAAGGGAGAATGTGGAAGCGCAAGGAAGACAAAGAAGGTGGTGGTGGAAGAGGAGGAGGCGCAAAGGGACACGCTGGACGGCAATGTGAGTGGCGGGAAGGGTGAGCAGAGCGACGTGCGCTTGAAGCGCACTCATCGCACTGCCAAGCTCATCCCTTGCACCTCTGCCAAGGATGTGCAAAAGCGCTCAATCGGAGATGATACTTTTCCCTCTGGCCCAACCGATGCGCGAGCGAAGCCATGTGCATCAAAGCCGACCACTACGACGGCTTGGCCAGCACCTAGTCCAAAGAAAGTCAAGGGCAGCAGCAGCAAAGTCAAGAGTCCCGCAAGGACTGGTCGCATCGCTTCGTCCGTGCACAAATGTGCGCTTTCGAATTCCGATGCAGCGGTGCGCGCCGAAGAAGCTCGAAAGAAATCGTTGGCTATGGCCGTGGCCACGACGAGCAGGAGCGAGGCGGAACAGGGTGCGGCGAGGAAGAGAGCGGAATCGAGTGCGCAGCAAGGTGTTGCGCCCTCTACACCTTCGGCTAGAGCGCGCGCGAAGAGGGAAGAAAAGGTGCAAGATTCGTTCAGAAGGGCAGCTTGGCTCGTCAAGAATGATGCGAGCGGCAAGAAGAGAGAGACTCGAGTTGCTGCTGCTGCTGCTGCTGCTGCTGTTGCTGGCGGTGCAGAGGAAGAAGATGCGCCTGCTCTTCAGATGTCGACTGTGGACGACTCGCAGGAAGGATGCAGAAGTGGGGCACTTCGACCTGCTCTTGACGTCGAGCCTGCGCTCAAGTGGAGCGAGCAAGAACGCGTGGCCGACTCATCTAGAGCAATTCCAGAGCGGCACGCTCCGACTGTGACGATGACAGGAGCACCGTCTGGCAAACCTCGACGTAGCGCGAGGTTGAGCGACAAGATAGAAGAGGAGGAGGAGCAGCAGGAGAAAGAAGGCGCAAGTCGTGCGTTGCACGTTCCAGCGGGCTACAGGCTCTGCTCTACAGGCACGCTGGTGCCCCTCGCCCAATCTTCTAGCTTCACCTTTTCAGAGCGAGCAAATCGGGCCAAAAAGGCGCATTTGCAGAGCAAGAAGCGCGACGAGAAGCGCGACGAGAAGCAGACGGGCGGCGGCGGCAGCGGCAGCAGCAGAAAGGCAGGTGGCGAGGATGGCAAAAAGGGACCAAAGGCTAATCCTGTACCTGCTTGGTTGTTGAGACGCAAAGAGGAGCTGGCTAGGCTGGAAGAGGAGAGGTTGGATTTGCAGAGACGTAGAGTGAGGGAGGAGGAATTGGGAAAAAAATCTTCCGGACATGCCAAGACGACGTCGAGGGGGACGAGGTCTTCAAAAGCCCCTCCTCCAACGGCAATTGGCACCCATGCGAACGCCAAAGCTTTCAGATCCAACACCGGGCCCGTCACCGCGCCCGCGCCCGCGCCCGTGCCGTTCGTATCGAGCATCGAAGCGCGTCTGCAAGAGCGCGCAGCGTGGGAGACGAAGCGCCGAGCGCACGAGGAGGAGTTGGAAAGGGAACGGGAGAGGGCAAGGAGGATGAGAGTGGAGATGGAAGAGGAAGAGGATAGGAGGGAGAGAAAGAGGAGGAATCCAAAGGCGAATCCTTTGCCCGAAGGGATTTATGGAACTTTTACCACCACCAACACCAACACGACGACGAGGTCAAAAGGATTGTCGGCTTATGCTAGAGCGACTAGAGCGTCTGGCAGGCTAGCTGAAAAGTGAGCTGCGAGCATGCTTGCCTCACGTCTCTTCAACTTCTGTCCGAGAAAATCCCACTTTCTCCCCCCACGTCTCCCCTTTGTGATCTTGTACGAGGACTCGGCTAATCCCATCATCAGGTTCCGACCGCTGCGAGACGTGTTCGTACATGCAGAGGAGAATCATTTTGACTTTTTCGTCGGTCCGTTCGTAGACGGGTCGGAGTGCGAATAGAGTGACGGGATGATGTATTGCAGTGCGGGACGCGTCTGTGAGATTGGGCCTACTGATACATGGTGTTGCAGGGAGGGCGGAAGAGGTAGGAGTGGATGCCGCATGGGCGCCGGTCCGCTCGCCCGCTCGAATTCGCGCCTCGCGCCTCGCGCCTCGCGCCTCGCGCCTCACGCCTCATGCTCGCTTGGATGATCGTACGATGAAGAGGGTAGAGGTGATTGCGGATCCGAGCAGGATGCCCGCAAAGCCTGCAAGCCAAGGTGAAATGTAACCGGCGACGGGGCACCTGCCAGCGATTGCCTTGCGGATGCTCTTGCTATCCGGCAACGTCCTCCTGATGCCTCTGACCTGCCTGGCGCTCGGCACGCTTCCATCCTTCCAACCTCGAAGGATGATGCGCATCTCCTCTTCCTCCAGCGTTGCCAATTCGTCAAAGGACCACTTTTCGCAAACGTCGATCATCCAGCTCATGCGTTTGGGACCGGCAGCGGCTTGCGGCGCCTCGCTCCTCAGCATGGCTCTCAACCTGCCCACATTCTCGATGGCTTGGCCCAAGTTTTCTGGAATGGCGCGTTGAATGATGCGACGGGTTTGGGCGGCTATGCGAGGACCCTTGCCTCCCGTGCTCACCATCACTTGCAATGGGCCTCTTCGTATCAAGCTTCCAAAGTAAAAGTCGCACTCTGGCGGTACATCCGCCACATTGACGGGGATGCGCAGCGCTCTGGCCATTTGACAAATTTCTCGAGATAAAGCGGCATCGTCGATGGCCGTCAGCACCATATCGTAGCCGCCCATCAGATCATCTTTTCCGCCAAATACGCGATCTTGATACTCGTCTACGGATTTCTCCACGTGGATGCGATACTTCATCTCCCCGCACAGACCGGAAGAAGGACAAATGACGGTGACGATGGCGTCCGCATCCTTCACATTCACCAATCGACCTGCGCATTGAACGGAAGGGGGGGGAGGGAGTGGAGCGTGACGTGGCGTGGCGTGGCGTGGCGTGACGGAGCGTGTATGCGCATTCATGGTCAGCGAGCGCATCGAGTAGGGTTGCACCCGGGCTAGCGAGGCGAGGCGAGGCGTGACAGGAAAGATGCTCACCGGCTGCTACGGGACCGCCACCTACGAGCAATACGCGCTTCCTCTTCAACTGCCACGAGATGATCAGACCGCCTCCAGGGCAGATCTGCGGGTAGTCCGCTTGACCCATATTGTCCCCCACCGCGCCGCGTTCAAGGAGAGGTGTGCTGTGCTGTGCTGTTTCCTGCTTGCTTCGAGCGCGGCGTGGATTGGGTTGGCAGATGTTGCGATTGAAGGTGAATGGGGGTGTTGTGAGGAGATGGGGCAGGATGAGGCGCCGCTGCTGCTGCTGCTGCTGCTGCTGCTGCTGAGCCTTTGCGTGCGGGCGTACGGATGTGGTGCTGAGGGTGAAGAGGGAAGAGGGCAGCGAGTGTGTACACTGTAGGTGCAAGTGTGCGAGGGCAAGCAACCCTGTTTGTCAAATGCACCGCTTATCATTCGCTAACCAGTCACAGTCATTCACGATTCGTGATTCGCGCATTCGTGATTGAATTCCTCGCTCGATCGCCTATATCTGTGAATTGCGCGCGCGCCCCGCCCCGCCGCATGGAGGGAGTTGAGGCAGTCCAGCAATCAACCAGCATGCAAGTCACGCTCACGATTCACGATTCAAGATTCGTGATTGTGACTCACGCACGCGACTGACTGCATGGCTCGCACGTACGACGCACAACTTGCATCATGAATGGAATGCGCTCGAGAATATTCTCCTGCTAGCCCATCCGCCGTCGCTGATGTTGTGCATCGCGTTCATCAGCAGGCAGCGTGGGCGCGGGCGCGGGCGCGGGCGTGGAACTGATGTCGTGGGCCAACGATCCGATCTTCCATCATCCTTTCGCGCGCGCGCCCACGCGTACCCCGCCAAAGCCCCCTTCAGCTGCCTGCCACTTCCCTTGACTCGCAAAAGTCATTCACGAATGCCCAGCGACGACGACGCTCTGACCCCGCATCTCTCACAGATTTGCTCCTCACCCTGTCACCCAGACTGCTGCCTGCCTGCCTGCCTGATCGAGCCATGTCGTCCGTGGGCAGTCCTTCGCGCGCGCGGCAAGCAGAAGAAGATTCTCAAGATTCGGGAGAAGACATTGCAGGAGGAAATAAGCGCGGACTAATCGCTGGTAGCGAAGAGGATGATGACGATGATTCGAGCGAGGAGGATGAGGATGATGATCCGGAAGAAGCGCGCAGGATCGCTCAAGGCTTCATCGTGGATGAGGAGGAGGATGAGGAGCAGGAAGATGACGACGAGCAGGAAAGGAGGAGAAAGAGGAAGCGGAGAAAACAAAAGAGGAGAAGACAGCTCGGTGAGTTCTCTTTGGTGAGAGGCAGCGACGCGATGGGGAGAGAGAGAGAGAGAGAGAGAGAGAGAGAGAGAGAGAGAGCGGGCGAGAAGAGGTGTGGAGCTGATCGCACGCCGCATATATGCATCGCTGCCTTGCCGTTCCTTCAACCCCTCGATCACCATACAGAGGAAGAGAATGAGGAGCTGGACGAAGACGATCTGGATCTGCTGGCAGAGAACACCGGCGTCAAGCGGAGAAAAGAGGAGAGGAAACTCAAACGTTTTCGTCGAGGTTCGGCTACGCCCGAACCTCGTCCCTCTTCGCGTCCCGAAGATCTGAGTCACATGTTCGACGATGATGACGAGGATGGTCCAGCTGCAGCTGTCACTGCAACTGCTAAAAGGCGCGCAGACACTGATGAGGAGGAGGAGGAGGAGGAGGAGGATGACGGCTTGCCATCGGCTGCCAATGCCCTTCGTCGTGCGACGGATGCAAGATCGAGGCGTGATCGCGATTTGGCCGCTCAAGCTGCTCCTTCTGGCTTCGAAGACGAGATGGAAGATTTCATCGACGATGACGAGGATTCCGACATGGACGCATCCATCTCTGACGGAGAGAGGGAAGCTCGTCGAGCAGAAAAGCGCAGATTGAGAAAGGAGGAGAGGGAAGCGAGAAAGGCTTCCAAATCCGGCTTGGACCTCGACCCCACGCGCGCGGGCATCGATCAGGATCAGTGGGAAGAGCTCAATGATGTGTTTGGAAATGGCGAAGATTACGCTTGGGCTTTTAAGAAGGGTGATAGGGAAGGCGAAGAGGGAGCGCTGGAAGAAGAAGACGAAATGTACGAGGATGAGCTGGCGGATGAGCAGAGAAAGAAGAAGCTCGAGTTCAAAGACGTGAGTACATCATTTTTGAGCACGTTCCTTGTCGTCTCAGCGCTTGACGCTCCCTGCCATCGTCGCCCAACACATGCAGATCTTTGAGCCGGCTGCGATCAAGGAGCGCATGCTGACCGACGACGACGACCGCATCCGTCGAGCCGACTTTCCCGAGCGGTGGCAACTGGCACTGCCGGGCGAGGATGGGCTGCAGCTGCTAGAGAGACAACTCACCTCTTCCGAGCTGGACGATGCAGCTCGATGGGTCAATGCTCGCATATCGCAACGATGCTACAGGCTCTTCCTCTCGCCCGAAGGCGAGTTCAATCAGTTTTTGGGCGTCTGGCAGCAATGCGTTCGCACGACTGTTGCGCACGTCCTGAACAAGCGCAGAGATGCCATGTATCTGTACGTCCATCATGCGGACGAGCATGAGCTCAGGACGCAGCACAATTACGGCGCGGGAAATAGACAGGGAGCTACGATCATCACGCTGCTCAACAGGCGCGATTTGCAGAGCCTCGTCTCGGCTTGCTTGCGCTTCAAATCCCTGCTGGCTCGCAAGGACAGCTTGAGAAGGCTGTTCGAGCGACTGCTTCAGGATGACGTCAACGCCACTGAGGAAAATCAGTCGTTGGCTGTCGCGCCGACCGTGCCCAAGGGAGCACCTAGTCAAGAGCAACGCAACGAGTTTGCGCAGCTGCTCGCGCGCGCAGAGAGCACGGAGGAGGTCGCGGATGTGGCGGATTGGCTCAATATGCAGTTTGGCCAGAAGCTGCGGGACGCGCAGGCTATAGAGACGGGCCTGTCCCTGAATGGCAGATCAGCGACGACCTTCAAGAAGCCCGCGATCGTCAGTCGATACGAGCGCGTCAAAGCTACGATGGCGTTGGACTTTGCTCGCAAGGTGGCCATGCCCGCTGCGCACCTGTACAAGAATTACGAAGCTCCGCACGGTAGACCGTACACTTGGCAAGATCCGACAGAGGACCCAGCCACGCTAGCTGGTCAGTACTTTGACGCGGCTGCCAACATGCTCTCGGCGGAGCGCGTCTTGGACGAAGCCAAGCTGCTGCTGGCAAACGAGATAGGACGTGATCCATCCATGAGGCAAGTGGTGCGCAGTCTGTTCAGAGACTTTGCGTTCGTCAGCGTCGCTCCGACAGAACGCGGCGAGTCGGTGATTCACGAGGAACATCCATTCTACAATTTCAAGTACCTGATATCGAAGCCCGTGCCCGAATTCAGGGAGCATCAACCTCCAACGGAAGGTCAGCTGGCTCCGGCCGTGCCGAATCCTGTTCAATTTCTGCTCATGCTCGAGGCGGAAGAGAAGCTGCTGGTCAATATCGACGTTCGACTCTCTCCTCACCAGGTCCAAGGCTTTGAGGATCGCTTGACCGCTAATTTTGCAGGAGAACATTCCACTGCGACTTCGTATGCGTGGACGGACTTTAGGAGGGAAGTCATCAAGGCTGCGTTGGAGGACTTTTTGCTGCCCGTGGGAAAGATTTGGGTCAAGGAGTGGTTGAGAGAGGAGTGCCAAGACTGGCTTGGACGTGCTTGCGAAGTTCAACTGAGTAGGGTGAGTAGGCTAGATGCGAACGCAGAATGCTGTATAGGCCCTGACTCGGCGCTCTGGAATGGCTTCTTTACGCGCAGCGCATCGATTGCAAACCTTACCAGTCGAAATCGATGCATGCTCGACTTCGCGACGAGAAGGACGCTCCGAGCCAATGGGACGCGGAACAGGATGATGAGGACGACACGCTAGTCGGCGATAAGCACTCTAGCACAGTCCCTTCTGTTCTCGCAATCTCTGCTGGCCAAGGAGACCCGCGAAGAGACACTACGAAGGCCGTCTTCCTCAACGCACGCGGCAAGCTCATCGAGGGCAGCACGTTTGATGGACTTGCGCCTCCGCGAGGACACGCAAACGATGCGGGTGTGTCCTTGCAGCGCATCGACGAGCGCGATCTAACATCGCTGCCCAGCAAGGACAGAGAGACCTACCAATCTCGTATGGCCTTTATCGACTTGCTGAAGAGACGAAGACCAGACGTTGTTGTGGTCAACGGCTTTAGCGCTCGCACCGTGGCGCTCAGATCGCTGGTACAGCTTATGGCTACCAAGGCAGAGGAAGAGCTCGTGTCAGAGAGCAGATTGCCACCTCTTGGTACGCCGCAAGGCACAGCGGAGCGCGAAAAGCTCTGCATCGACGTCATCTCTGTGGACGACGATGTTGCTCGTCTTTATCAGCACAGCGCGCGAGCAGCCGACGAACATCCCTCGCTGGACGTCTTGACCCGCTACTGCGTCGCTCTGGCTCGATATGCCCAATCGCCGCTGAACGAATTTGCGGCGCTGGAAGAGGGCGATTTGCTTTCCATTCGGTACGACGCCAATCAGCAGCTCTTGCCCAAAGCCAAGCTGGCCATGCACCTCGAAAGAGCCATCTCCGCTTCGGTCTGCCACGCGTGCATCGACATCAATCGAGCGTCCACGGACGCTTACTATGCGGCTATGCTCAAGTTCGTCAGCGGACTGGGTCCACGCAAAGCTACTGCGCTGATTCAGACCATCAAGGCTGAGCTAGAGGGTGTGGTAATCAACAGGCTCAGCTTGCTCATCGGCGCTCAAGACAGTCTGATGCGCGAGAGCGACGTGGAGATCTTGACGCTGGAAGTGTGGCACAATGCGTGCCCATTCTTGGTGGTGCGTGGAGTCAAGTCGCAAAGGTACCAGGGATCGCCAGACGTGCTGGACGGTACGCGCATTCATCCGGAAAATTACAGGTATGCCAGGTTCATTGCGTTCGACGCGCTGCAGAAGAACGAGGAGGATCTGGATCCGAACGAACATCCTTCTCAGTTTTGCTCGGAACTGCTCAGGGATCAGCGCCGCGAGGCAAAGGTGTCGACGATCGATTTGAGCGACTATGAGGCGAAGCTTTTGCAGGAGCAGCAGGACAAGGGCGAAGCGCCCAGCAGGAAGCTCACCCTGCTCAACATGGTTGCTCGGGAACTGGTCTATCCGTGCGTGGATGCGCGGGCCGCGTTTGTGCGCCCAACTTCGGACGCCTTGTTGTCTGCCCTCACGGGCGAAACGAGCCAAACGCTGTCTGGCATTGTGGCCGTCACTGTGGTCAGCGTGCAGCCGGAGCACGCCATCGTTCGACTAGCTTCGGGCATCGAGGGCACAATCAATGGCGAGTACCTCAGGCCATACCCTAGCGAGTACTACCAGATGGAGCAGATGCGACCTCCTTCTTTGCGGGACATTGTCAAGCCGATGCAGACCATCAATGCTCAGATCATCGATGTGGACAAGGACACCTTTCGCGTCGAACTCACTGCGAGACCAGACCACTTGGAAAATGCGGCGGCGCATCCTAGCGGTAGAGCAGTCCTGCCTGATCAACGATACTTTGACCACGAAGCGGCGGCGATGGCAAAGGCCAAAGCGGAGGATGAGGTGCGACGAAAGATGAATTTGAGAAATGTCAGATCCATCAATCATCCGTACTACAAGAACTTCAACTCGACTCAGGCCGAACAATACTTGGCCGACTCCAAATTTGACATCGGAGAAGCAATCGTCAGACGAAGTTCAAAGGGCAGTGACCATCTGGCGGTGACGTGGAAGGTTGCGCCTGGCGTATTCCAGCACGTTGGTGAGTGCCAGATCAGAGCTTGGTCGAGGCGGCAAAAAGTTGAACGCCATGCACTACTTGCACGCACTTTGCAGATGTCCTCGAGCTGGACAAGGAAAACGAGTACGAGTTGGGCCGAACGCTGCGCGTCGGCAATATGGGCTCGTACTCGGACATCGACGAGCTATTGGTCGGTCACATTGCCCCGATGGCTGCGATGGTCAGGCAATTGCTTCATCACGAAAAGTACCAAGGCGAGGAAGCGCAATTGGGTGAGTTCGTGCGCGCCAACTTCCTTTCTCTTCATACCGCCCTCACATTTAATCCCCCCCCCACGCATTTTTTGGCATGCAGATCAAGTCCTGACCAGCTTTACGCAAGCAAATCCGAACCGCAGCACGTACGGTTTTGCATTGGACCGGAAGCGTCCTGGCGCCTTTGTTCTGGGCTTCAAAGCGAATAGGGATGCAAAGATTCAAAAATGGCCCGTCAAGGTGCTCCCTGGTCGTTTCAAGCTGCTCGACACGGACCATTTGCCCAACGTTACGGCGCTGTGTGAGTAGCGTGGACATCGATAGACGGATGTTGGAGGTGCTGCTTTCGCCATGCTGACATGGCATCTCCGCGCGCGATCTTTGTAGGCAACTCGTTCAAATCGCAGTACACCTCGATGGTCGGTATGCAGCGCGGAGGCAGGACTCCAGGTGGAGGTCTCGGCGGCGCTACTCCGCGCGCATTGGGTATGGGCACCACACCCTACGGAGCTGGGCTTGGCTCTGCGACTCCTGGTGGGCCGCTAGGCGGACGCACGCCTGGACGCTACACGGCGTACGGTGCTGGATCTGCTACTCCTGGTGCGCTGGGAATGCGAACACCGTACGGTGCAGCAGCTGCGACGGGCTCCATGACGCCCAGCGCTGCTGCTGCTGCTCGGCTGGGCGGCACTGGGCAGACGCCAAATCCCTACGCGCGAACGCCCAATCCTTATGGAGCGCCAGCCACTCCGCAGCATCAGCAGCAGCAAGGAGGACAATTTGGAGCATCGAGACCTGGCGCGCCTCCGGCAGCTCCGATGGGCTTCGCAATGCCACCTGGCGCTCCGCCCGCACCTCCTCCAGGCTTTCCCAACGCTCAACCTCCCGGTCCTCCTCCTTCCCGACCGCCTTCAAACGTGCATCCCGACAGGTGGGCTATGCAGCAGGGAGGCGCTTACTAAGGTGGGCGCCGGGGGGGCCGAGCGCAAAGCTGCATCCATTGCTTCCATGGAAAATGAGAATGCGAGAAAAAACAATGATTCATGCGTGTGTTGCGCACGTCGACCATCATGCACAGGTGCTCTGGTGCGATCCGAGCTGGGCTAAGCGAAGGTAGGAACTAGTGCGCAACTACGCACCATCGCTGAGATGAGATGAGACGAGAGCGTTGGGGGGGGGGGGGGGGGGGGGGGGGGGGGGGCAGCAAGTCTTTGCCGCAAAGACGCGCGGAGTAGCAGCGCAGGCATGTTGCACAGTCATCACGAACCCATCACGACCTGAACGCGAGATCGAACGCAGACGGGGGATCTATCTCGATTTACAGCTATGAGATCCGTGCTCGCTCGTAAGCAGGAGACCAAAAAATTAGTGCGGAGGAGGAGGAGGGGGGGAAAAGAAGGAGAAAAGGGGGAAAGGAGGGACGATGTGCGTGCGCAGCGCTTTGGAGCTTGTCTAGAGCGCGTTACCCCCAACGGCAGCGTCGAGCTGACCGAGCAGTCGAGACGTGTTGCGCCTTGACCGCGACTCCTTTCCGTACGCTACAAAGTGGGATACGCTCTCGAGTTGATCGGGTGCACATGTAATTCAGAAGAACGTCTCCCCTCCGCTCTCCTTCTCTTTCGCGAGCGAGAGAGACCTGCTCCGCTTCGCGCCGCCAAGAGCTCCTTACAGGATAACGCACTTTTTCTTATTGACTCCACCCGAAGCGCCTCCCACTTTTCTCCTCCACCGGCTCCTGAGCGCTTCTCTAAGCGCCACATCGAACACCTCCTGCACACCTCTTCTCGTCTTGGCCGAACACTCTACGTATTTCGCTGCTCCAATCTCTTTGGAGACCGATAGACCTTGCTCGGGCGTCACGGGTCGAGTACCTTGCGCTGCTAGCATGGATAGAGCGTGCGCGTCGTTTCGAAGATCCGTCTTGAGCCCTACTAGAATGATGGGCACGCCCTCGCAGAAATGATTGATCTCTGGATACCACTGGGTAGCGAGAGGGCGAAAAGGCAGGATGTGAGCCGAGGGAGCGACAAGATTCAAAGAGACGTGAGCCCGATTTGTGGAGAGAGAGAGGGGGAGAGAGAGGGACGCACCTTGTCTTGCACATTTGCCAGACTTGTGGGGTAATCGATGGCAAAGCAAATGAGAATGATATCGCTAGCAAAGGGAGGGTTGAGCGGGAGGTCGCAGGAGATCAGCAGCCTTGCGTCAGCTACTGCCATCGACGGCTACGCCCTTGCATCTCCACATTGCGAGCTCATTTCTTGTTGCATGATCTGCGCCAAAACCCTCTGCGGCTCACCTTTCCGGGTAGCTCAAAGGTCTGAGCCGATCGTACTCTTCTTGTCCCGCAGTATCCCACAATGCCAATTCCACCACCTTGCCCTCGAACCTCACGATAGGAACGTAATTCTCAAAGACGGTGGGAATGTACGCTTCTGGAAAGCGATTTTCCGACTGTGTATGCGTGCGGGGTGCGCGTGCGCAGGAAGGTGAGGTCAGTGTTTGCGTTGCCACGCTGCAGGGGGTCGCTCCAAGAGTAGCGCGGCACAGCACAGCTTGAGCATTCGGCTCCATCTCTGCGCTCTCTGCCCCACCTTCCTCTCAAACATCCTACCCGATCCCTCCCTTCGCCCCAGCTGGTAGCCGCCGGCCGGTTCACTGAGCAATGAGCAACTTTTTGGCGACTCACATAGACGATCAACAAGCTCGTCTTTCCAGCTCCACCATCTCCCACCACGACGAGCTTCTTTTTGGCATCGATGTGAGGTCTGGTGTTGCCTCCTTGTCCAGGAGGCGCATAATCCGCACCGCTGCCCGCTTGTATGCTGCCCAATGAACCTGAAGAGGGATGTGCTTGATGCGTCATGCTTGCAAGTCTTCGTCTGAGAGAGGGGTGGGTGGATGTAGCTTGAACCTCGCTGTGAGACGATGATCGTAGAGCCTCGCGTGTACTCAGAGATGAGCACCGACGTGCTCTCTAATCACCTTGGCCCCTTTCCTGCGTGTGGCGCGACTACTCCGGGCTTTGCTTGCGCTCTCCAAAGTCGTACTTGATATCGCGTATGCTGGGTGCGATGAGGCGTGCGGTCCGGCAGAGGAGAGGGAGAGTGATGTGCAGTTACGCTACCTGAGGTTGATGCAATAGGCAGCAGACAATCAAGAATTAGTATCTCGTGGCTGCAGACCCGTCCTGAGTCTGGAAAGCAAAATGAAAGATGGTGATGGATTCAAGATCGATGGATGTATGGAGGGATGGTCGACCCTTGACTCGCGCTCGCGCTCGCACTCACACTCGCACTCTTGACTCACACTGCTGCGATGGTGGTTGGCAGTGCACTCAATAATTTTAATTCCTCGAGATGGCTACTCGTGACTGGTAATCAAGAATCAAACACATATGTACACGAGCTTACAGTACTACACATTCGTGATTCGTATTCATTAACACTCCTCTGCATTTACGCCTATAACTATCCAGATCACATCCAGCCATCACCCAGCTCAGCAATTGCAGCTCCAAGCTCGATCATGACTCCACCTCGCTCTCCGCGCTAGCTGTAGCAGCTGCACGACGAACAAGCGCGTAGCCGCGCCGCCGTCACCCGCTGCGAGCGACAACACTTGGACTTGCAACCAACACGCCTGCACGCCTGCATGGCTGCATGGCTGGCCTGGGTACAGCTGCCGGCGCTCACTTACAACTCATAGCATCGCATATCGCGTTCGCTTCGCCCCAGGCAACGGTAAATGCGCTCATCGAGCATCTCCCATTTCTCATCATAGCCACCGAATGATTGAATTTGCATTCTCTGGGGGGGGGGCAGAAGGGCAAGCTCTCAAGCGTTCGTGTCGGCCCAGCTAGCTGCTCTACGGGCCGGGTCGAGGAGACAGACTCCTGGCACGTACTGTACAGTAATTTAACAAAGAGACTTTCAACCAACACGAACAAGGCAAACTCGATCGATCGCGACCCGCGCCCGGTGAGAGACGCGCTCGCGCGCGCGCGCGCGCGAGAAAGCGATCCTTGCTTCTCATGTCACGTGATCTGCTACCCGCACTCGCACTGATCATGCAACGCATGATACCCAGGACCAATTTTCGATTCACGATTCAAAATTGCGACACGTGGGTGCATGGCTCCGCTGCAGTCGACGGGTGGCGGTCGCTGTGACTTGCTTGCGGTACGCGCGGCGCGGTGTCATGAATGAGCAGCAGCAGCAGGTCGCTCGCTGCATATGCTATAGCTTGCTTGCTTAATGTGTGCGCTGTCTGCCTTGCACGGATGGGCGGGCGGGCGGGTCTCGGCGGGCTCTGCACGGCGCGTTGGAGCAGATCTTCGCGCGCCCGTGCATTTGCGCATTCTTCGTTCCCCCTCCCCCCCCCCACACTTCGTGCTTGCCGTCCACCACAACGACACAGAACCCAATGCGAACAGGGTAAACTTATTACACACGTCGCTCCAACATCACCATCCATCAACCCCCTTTGGACATCATGTCTGGAGGAAAGCGCATCTATCTCGGCCACCTCTCTCCCGATGTGCGGTGAGTGGCGGTGCGGTGCGGTGCGATGCTGTGCGCATCTTGTAGTCCATCTTTGATCACGGGTGTCTCGAGCTCATCACCCCACTTGCCCCCCTCGCCTTTGAAATCCCTCTTTGCTGCTCACGCAGTCGAGGAGACCTGGAGGATCTGTTCAAGGGTTATGGAAAGATCAATGATATACGTCTGGTGCGTCATGGATGCATGGCCCGCCACGAGTTCGAGGCGCGTAATGGTGCCGGGGTGTGCTGACAGATAGCTCATCGTGCTGGATTGTGCGCACACAGATGGGCTCCTTTGGCTTCATGGAGGTCGAGAGTGGTCAGGATGCGGATGACCTGGTCAAGGTGAGTCGTGGAGCGTGTGCGCCGCATGGCGGGGCGCGTCTCCTGACCCCGGCCCGCACTCCCTTTTCCCGCGCATCGCATCCTCAGGACTTTGATGGAAAGAGCTTCATGGGAGATCGGTGAGGCAAAGCTTGGCCATCATTTCCTCCCATTCGGCGTTTCGTTGCGCTGACTCGACGCTTCTCTGCAATGCAACAGCCTCATTGTGCAAATCGCAAAGGAAGCTCGTCCACGCAGCGAAGTACCGCGTCCTCCTGGAGGCTACACGAGCGGATACCAAGGTGCCAGCGGATACGGATATCCAGGTGGCTACGGTGGTCGCGGTGGCTACGGAGGCTATCATGATCCTTACGCTTACGGTGGTGGGCGCGGCGGTTATGGTGGTGGACGAGGCGGCTATGGTGGTGGATACCCACCGCGTGGAGGATACGGCGGTGGTGGTTACGGTTTCGACCCGTACGGCCCTCAGCCTCGCCAACCTCGCATTCGTCGCGGTGAGTACGCTTGGCATCGCTGATCGCAGATTGTTCACGACTGAATCTTTGAACTCCGTACATCGACACTACGCAGGCGATTACCGCGTCATCGTTTCCAATTTGCCAGCCAACACTTCCTGGCAAGATCTCAAGGACGTGGGTCGCGAAGCGGGACACATTTCGTTTGCCGATGTCGACCCATCTCGTCCGGACGAGGGTATCCTGGAGTACGATTCGCGCGAGGATATGGAGCGCGCTCTGGACAAGATCGAAGGTATGGAGCTGCGCGGAAACAAGCTTCGCGTGGACCCTGCCCCTGCTCCGGAACCTCGAGGCTCGGAACGCGATCGCGATCGCGATGGGGGTCGTTCCAGCAGACCTGCACCCGTCGAGCGAGAGCGCGAGCGCGAACGTTCCCGCTCGCCTGCTCCTCGACGCCGTGCTGACAGTCGCTCTAGAAGCCCTGCGCCTCGTCGTGCCCGCGATGATAGCCGAGACCGCTCCCCCGCCGCTTATCGCAGCGCCTCGGCTCGCGACGCTCCAGAGGATGATCGCTACCGCGACTAGGTTTGAATCTGTCGCACGTAGTATACGATAGGAGAAGAGGGTGGATGGACCTCTCCGTGAAGCGAATTTCACGTCGGTGCCAAAGGCGCAGGAGTGGAAGCGCGTGGAAGGATTTGCGAACCCAAACTCTACGACAGAAGTGTATGGATTCATCTCGCAATCTCGTGTTGACGTGGATGGCCCTGAACAGAGAACGCGCATCCGAAGCGGAAATTTCCACCCCCCCCCCCCTTCCCCCAAAGAGGAAGAATCGGTCCGCTACGAACCCCACCCCCCAAAAAAAAAATCACATCTTCTGTTTTTCTCCTGTGCTCCAAGGTCTGGACAGGGTCCTTTTTTCTCAATCTAACGGCAGGCCACGCTGACTGGACGAGGCTAGGTGAAAGGATACGTTTGGACGAGGTAGACGGAGCGAACGGACGGACCTGATCGGAAATGGACTCGGACTGGCTCACTACCGGTTTTTTTGTTTTTTTTTTCTTCTTTGTTCATCTTGTTCTTTGTCTTGTTGACTGGTCGGGCCTGGATGATGGCTGAAGGTGAAAAGAAAAAAGGCGCACGTGGGGGAACAAGATGTAACTCGATTGTGATTCTCTCCCCCTTTATTCGTTTGTGGCACTGGCACTGGCACTGGCACTGGCACTGGCACTGGGAACGGGACTGGACACTTGACGCACGGCAAGGGCGCCACGGACGTGGATGGAGAAGTATGCGCTTGTCGAACAGCGAGGCCCAGCTAGCAGGCCAGCGATAAGGAATCATTGTCCTTGATCTACGTTGCTATCGGAACCCCGGATGTGGTATGGACAGCGCAGAGCGGAACTGCGAAAAAGGCAAAAAAGGTTTCCCCTTTTTTCTGGAATTTGCGCGGGAGGGATAGGGCGCATTCTTCTACGCTTCCTCGTTCCCGCATGCCAATGTTGAAGAGCTGCAAGGACGCTTGCGGTACGTGCATACTTTTGCTTGGGCCTGGTCTGCCCTGGGCCCCGCGCCCTTTATCGCGCCCCCTTCTGGAAGGTTTCCAGCTCGATCTGCCTCTAGAAAGGAAAAAAAAAAATAAGTCGATCATGGCATTCTTTTTGGTCGAGCTTGTGCTGCATCCAGAAGCTCGCCCCTCTTGGGTCAATTTTGATCAGGATGGGCCGGCCAATTCTCGAAGGAACCGTGAATCGGAGCATATGAACAGTGGATTGCGATGGCTGATGGCTGATCGATCTGCCCCCCCGCACCCGCCCTCTCCCGCCAAGAATGCTGGCGGCGCGCGCGTACCTTGGACGAACTTGAATCGATTGGCGCAATCAGGACATGCTCTTTGATTCCTCTGAATCCTGCTCACGACTACCGGGGACGTCGGCGCTGCATAAGCAGGCCGGGTCATTCATCCAAATTGTTCAGTACGTTGATCGATGAGCGGCCGGATCGCGCAAATCGTCTTCCGCTCTGTTGGCTGCTCAGCCGAACGCTGGGTGCGTTGCGATCTATGGTCCTTGACCAATGCGGACTCTCGAGGCATGCGAAATCGTTCGAGCTGGTCAAGGGTCAGCTCGCGGGACGTTCTGCAAGACACGAAGCAGCGCGCGGCGCCATCGGATATCCGCCTTTGATACCGTTCCACGGACACGTTGCGCAACCACGCCCCCGCTTGGCTTTCTCGCTCGAGGCGTGGAGGAAATGCTCCCCTCGAAAACGCAAGCCTTTCACGATGGACTTGAGCGCTTCTTCATCGTGCGGTAGGGGGCCAGGGATTCGAGAATGGCGACTAAGCGGATGCGAATTCTCGCACACCCCTCTCGAGAGCATCGATACCAGCAAATCGGAAAACAATGTGCATGCTGGGGGGGCCTGATTGCACGACATCCTGGACGCATGTATGCTCGTACCTTCGACCAGGTGAGTCAAGTGTCAGAGCAGGTCCGTGATTGGCTGATGCCTCCCCGCTTGCGTCTTGCTATGCGACGACGACGACGACTGACAACTGGCATGAAGAGCTTTGGTGAGTGCTGCAGGGCTAGAATGTGCTACGTTTCCCACGGGCGCAGGGCTATGCTACGCTGCAAGGACTGGTGTCTTGAACTGCCCGCCCAGCCCTCAAAGCTGGGCTTGGCGATACTGCAATCATGATACTTGATTCATGCCATGCCTCGTCGACTAGTCTCCCTGCCTCTTTCTCTCCCCGCACTCAAGTTTGAGGTATCTCGGCTGTCTCTTTTTGCACGTCGTGGTTCGGTCATTGCCTGGCCGCGGTCGAGAAAACCGCGTGGTCAAGCGAGAATGCGTCACTTGCCCGAACTAGGGCGCGCTTGTCCACCATGCCGTGCACTTCTTTGCTCATCCCGCACGCTGAGAGATTCGTCGCACACCGATCAAAAGGCTTACTCTCTCCGCAAGGCAAAAGGCAGAGCAGAACACGACGTGGGGGCGCCCCCGCACGATGGGAATCACGATCGCAGTCTGCGACAGCATCTCGAATGAGATTGATTCGACTTGAGACTCGTCAATGCTGCTGCTGCTGCTGAGCACCATCGGGACTCTCTGCGGGCAGGTGCCGCATGTATGAAGAAGTGTTCTGGTTCAGGAGTAAGAGTACGACGCCATATTTGAACATACGCGCGCGATGTGCCATGGTCGCTCATTCTTGACTCACAATCAATCACGACTGTGACTTTACTTTCGTGACTCGTGACTCGTGACTCGTGACTCTGTGGTAGGATCCAGTGAAGCATCAGGACCTTGTATTATTGCGACGCCGATCATGCAGCGCCCAGCTGCAGCTTGCATGCATGCATGCATGCACGCATCCAGCAGCCGTTGTTGGACTCTGCTCCGCCGGCCGACGAGTGCGTGGGCTGGAGTGAGTCAGTCGACCATGCGCTCATTCATTCAAATACTCGCCTTCTCGCCGATGAAATCGTTGGAATTTCGCGTACTTGCAATCGTGATGGAGTGCATACAGACCGAGCTCACTCACGATTGCTTCGATCTGATGAGAATGCGCCGTCACGTTACCGCTGCGATGTCTCCTTTCGGCCGATTGAGCGGTCGATCATGCGCGCATGAATGGCCGGTGCTCGAGACGCCAAGGTAGGCGCGCATGCAAGCAAGCAAGCAAGCAAGCAAGCAAGCAAGCAAGCAAGCATCAGATCCGCCCATGCATGCAACGTACGTCCGCCGGTCTGTACCGTACAGTGTCAGTCCCGCCATGAAGGCTGCTGGTTGTCTGTCTGTCTGTCTGCTATAGGGCTGATGTCGCATATATACGTTGCACATTGGCATGCGGTCCGGTGACGTCCGTTTCATGCATGCATGCGTGCGTGCGTGCGTGCAATCAGCCATGCATGCTTCTCCCTCGATCTTGTCTTTGCTTGGCCATCAAGACGCGACCACATGACTGATGTTCGTCTGCTTCGAGTGGGGCCCCCCTCTGCTGAATCCCGCGATCCTTCCATGGAAGGTAGAGGCAGATGCTGATGTTGATGCTGATGATGCTGCTTGCTGGCCGGTGTGCAGGTATATAGACACGCGTCGATTCTTGATCCACTTTCCATCCGGTGAGTCCTCGCATCCCTCTCAACGTTTTCCTTCGCTTCTACATGATCCCCTTGCACCCTCCTCCGCCAACGGACACCCAACGGTCCATTACTCATGGGGCAGGCCCTGCTCCATAGCTCTTCACTCGACCTCGATCCACACTTTTGTATTATAAACGCATCAACACATCTCTTCTACGCTTATCCCCAAACTCTTCTCTCCGCCCACTTCCTGCGGCTCTGCCCTGATCAAAGAACGCGCATACATCTCAGTCGCATCACCCCCCTCAGCTCGGCAAGCAAGCAACGTCGAAACGATTGCGAAGATGTGCTGGCCTTGCACAAGCAACAAGCACATTGAACCCGCGTACCCAAGCGAAGGGCAGGGAAAGAAGCAGCAGCAGCAGCAGCAGCAGCAGGGCAGGTCGCGCAAGATGTTGGCCAAGTCGAAAGACGACTCTTGCTTTGCAAAGGGCAACGAGCGCGGTCTAGAAGAGGGTGAGGATGCTGCTATGCTTTTCTCGCTGCTCCCCTTCCCTTTCGCTTTCGTGCACACCCTTTCATCTTTCTCGACACACTTTCGCTGGTCGACATTGCACACCATCTCTTCTCTTTGTCTTGGCGCCTTTTTGAACGCGTGCGACCCTTTCTTCTTCTTGCCGATGCGAGCGAGAAGGAGGAGATCATGCGCACGCAGCACCTTGGTTCTCTGCGCTTTGCCGACGACCATCTTGATGTCCTTTTTAGCGCTCTGCATGGTCGCAAGCGAAGCTCGAGCAGCTCAAAAAGTTCTCTCCCTCGGTCCTCTCCCCTTAGTCTCTGGCGCCAACATTGCCAAGTTTACCTTTCCTCGACCTGGCGGTGCAGGAAGCTTCGAGATCGATACGTACATTTCCAAAGGCGATGATGCGCCGGGCGAGCAGACCAGACAGGTCGTCGTCGTTGCGCATGGTCATCGTGAGTGTCCGCTGCGCTTTCTTTCAAGGCGCGTGGCGCAAATCGCTGACGGATGTTTGCGCCGCTCGTGCCGCAGAGCGTGACGCCAACAACGCTTTCAAAGCTGTGCAGAGCGCGTTAAAAACATCCGGCAAGAGCAACATCGCCATTGTGGCTCCAAAGATTGTGAATTTCTCGTGGGAACACTGCTGCTGCTGCTGTTGCTGATGGCATGGCATTGTGCTCAGCTGACTCGCATACCATCGCTCCTTTTCCAGTTCAACGGTGCTGACGGCGAGACGGCTGCGGATGGTGATCTGTGCATCTGGAAAGGCGACGGTTGGGGAAGTGGAGAAGGCATCTTGTTCCCTCTTGGCAATGCCATTGGGACGTTTGATATCATCGATGCCATCGGACATCACTTTACCGACAAGAACCTCTATCCCGCTTTGGAGTCCATCACCTTTGCAGGTCACTCGATGGGCTCGCAGCTCATGCTCCGCCATGCCATCCTCGGCAAGCAAGTTTCCGGTCTAAAGACATCCTGGGTAGTGGCCAATCCGTCCAGCTACTTGTACTTCGACAACGATCGGCCCGTCAAGGACAGGGACGGAGGAGCGTTCAAAGGTCAGAATGAGTACAAGTATGGATTCGACGGCATCGGCCAGAAGCTCGGGTTTTATGCCGACGCTTCAAAGAGTCCCGAGGAGCTGTTTGAGCGATTTGCAGCAAGGACGGTGCGTTTTTTGAACGGAGCGCTGGACAACAAGGGGGTGAGCGAGAGCAAGAGCATCGATAAGAGACCTGCAGCTGTCGCGCAAGGCGATAATCGGCAAGAAAGGGCAGAGAATTTTCGAAAGCATGTCAACAGGAAGAATGGCGGGCAAGATCCTGCTGCTTTCAGCTGGCAGCTCGTGCCGAGGGCTAGTCACAGCGCCGACGAGATGTTCGACTCGGAGATCGGCATCGCTGCTCTGTTCAACTGATGCGCTCTGTTCGACTGATGATGCTTGCCCCCCGGAGGCGCTCATCCCGGAGGACGCTTATTTTGCCCTTCCTTGCTGGACTCGATGTCATGCGCGAAATTTCCTTCACCCCCACCCCCCCACTTGTACAGTTCACATGAATTGCCCCCCTCCTCTGTGGCGCTTGCCTATTATGCCCGCGCCCATAAGCAGCACCCCATAATCACGATAATGCCCATGCATCGAACACAGCCTGCATGCATGGCTGCCTGCCCACTTTGAGTCATGAGTCTTGAGTGGCAGGATGGACCAACCCCACAACCACGTGAATAAGCTGAGGGTGGCATGGCATAAGGAAGCGGAGCGTACATTCACCATTCTCAAATGGACCAGAGATCGTCAGCAGGCAGGCAGGCAGGGCGCAGCAGAGGGGAGCTATGTAGTCGCGAGTGTGCATGGGTGTACGTAACACGCCATTTAGCGGATCAGTCGATCGCGTATATACGTGCTGATCGAGCGATCCATGCAGCAGGACAAAACCAATTCACAATTGAAGATCCGCAATTTGTTTAACGCGTGCAATTACAAATTCGATGTCCGCCGCGGCGCGAGAAGGGCGGGCGGGCGCGCGGCGTTGAAAAGGCGCGCACAGTGGTGCACAGCCTCGCGAAATCTCCTGCGCCATATGCAGCATATATGTTATTGGCTTGCAACGATTGAAGCACCGCGCCGGTCAGCCTACGTACGCGAAGCTTCAATGCTTCATCTCACCATCCTTCTCGCATCGCGATCGAGTCAGCAGCAGAGCGTGAGTTGCGGCAGATGACATCCAGTCACGAGTTTTCGAATAGCCAGTTGGGGAGAGGCTGGCTGGCTGATGCTTTCCTTTTCTTTTGAAACTTCCCTTTTGACTGTACAGAAACCCACGTGCACAGGCACAGGATTCACCGTCCTGCGCAAATTGCACCATCGATCTCACAACCCGCCCAACGATCGTCATCAGCCTTGTGCCTCGCACGAACTGCCATCCTCACCGATGCAACTCCCAGCGAGCCCAGTCATGAAGCTGCGCATCATAATCGGCTCTCTGCCGCTGCCGCCGCTGCTGCTGCTGCTGCTGCTGCTGGCCACACTCGCGCTCTCATCAGCTCCAACTCTTGCTGCACCAGCAGCAAGTGCCAAGGCGAGCGAGGCCGACAGGTTGCATGCGCAGCAGCAAGAGAAGAGGGATCTCTCCATCCTTCGTGGTCTGATACCCGTCACTCGCTTTCCCGGTACCAACCTTTTGGCAGCTTCCTACCCCAACGAGATCACTGTGCGATACAATGGGACTGTGGTGGTGAGTCAGGAAGGCTGGGCGGATTGTCGCATGGATGGGGGGGGGGGGGGGGGGGGGGGGGGGGGGGGGGGGGGGGGGGGAGGGGGTTTGTCCAACGACCGTACAAATGTCTGGCGGGGGTGTCTTGGTAAAGTGTTTGTGCGGGAAAGCATGCTGACAACTGCGACACACGCGCACGCGGGCAGATCATTCCGACATCCAAATCAGTCGCTCAGTCGCTCTTGCCCGCAAACGAAAAGCTTTTGCCCACGCATCCCGTACCCGGCCTAGCAGCGGATCAGTGGCCCATCGTCCTGCAATTTGGCCTTTCTCAGGACATCAAGCAGTACAATAGTGGCGTTGGAGACTTTTACACCAGTCGCATCTGCGTGAGTACGCTTTCCGAGATCCCCCCACTCCCCCCAAAAGAAAAGGGGGGTGGGTTCGAGAGAGAGACTGAAATCTTTGTCCTTTCAACGGTTTGCGGGCGTGCGGGGTGCGAACACGTCGACCGCATCAGGTGCCCTGGACGGACAGATCGGCAGATGGAAAGACGCCCTTCTCCTTTCACGTGGTCAATGTCTTGAATCTGTGAGTCAATCGTCTGATCCGGGGCATCTCCTCGGCTCCCGAGCTACTTCTCACATTTTGCGCAAATGTGATTCCATGCTCCGCCCCCCCGGCTTTTTTTCGTAGCACGCCTCTCGGCCTGCCTGGAGCCTTTTTCAGTGGAGAGCAGGTCAAGGCTGGTCTGTACAATCCCTCGAACCAAGCTTTGGGCATCAGAGCGGGAAGCGCAGGGACAATAGGTTCCACAGTGGTTCAAGCTAGCATCCTCAAGGAACCTCTGTTCGATTTCAAGCTTACGCCCATCAGCCAACAAGACGATGGTCTTGGCTTGAGCGTATTTAGCGATTTTGCTCAGCAAGGCTACACCAACTCCAAGAGCGACACGTGCACCTATGTAAGTGGAGAACGGAGCGCAACGGATGGAGCAAGGGGGGGGGGAATTTCTCTTTACTGGGAATTTGGCCCAATCGGTGTCTGCCTTGCCGGGGAATATCGTTGCCCCCCCCCCCCCCCCCCCCCCCCCCCCACCCTAACTTTTTGGGCTCTCACTCATTCTCCCTCTCATCTTGCCCCCAGTGCGAGCTTCGCTCACGCTCTCCCCAGCTCTAGGCTTGCCGAAAGAATTGACCGGCACCTTTCACCATCTCAAAGGTCTGCGCACAGCCGAACACTTCATCGAGACGCTCAACAGGCCTTGTCAAGGCACTGCTACCTTTCCTCCAAAGGAAGCGTGATGTGATGCTGCCCCCGATGCGTCACTTTGTCACACGCTACACGATGTTCTGTTCCCCCCAATCCTCGCATCGCATCGCATCGCATCGCACGCACGCACGCACGCACGCACGCACGCACGCCCACACGCACGCACTTGCAGGGTAGTAGGGTCAAGAGAAGAGATGGCATGCATCAAGTTTCCAAAATTTTTCCCCCACAAGTACGAGCTCGTGAGGCCCAGAGCAGGGGGGGGGAATCAAAGTGCGAGAGATCGAGCAACGGAGAGGGGTGAGAAAGAGCATGTTCGGGGAGAGAGAGAGAGAGAGAGAGAAGGGGGGCGGGCGGCATCGCAGAGTTGCTTTTGCGCGCAGGCATTCGCGTGACTTGGAATGGGGGCAAAGTACGTGCCGATGGGCTCGACTCCACTCGACTCGACTCGACCCGATTCGACGTGACTGTGGCTGGCGCGCCGACACGCCCGCCACAATGAGCCTCATGGCGGGGTGGGGGGCGGGCGCGCTCAGCACCTGATCACATTGTGCGTGTCGCTCCTCCAAATCCTCACCACTGCGCTCTCGTCCACACTGGCAATGATGCGGCAGTGTCTATCGTGATTGGGACTGACATGGCTCTGTCCAACGACGCTGCTGACCGTGTTTGGGCTGGTGAGACCAAACAGTCCAGCGGAGAAGGGCGCAGCTGCAAAAGAGGTGGGATCGGCTTTCCTGCGCGCCGCATCCGAAGCGATCGGATCTTCGGCGCACACCAGCAGCGCGTTGGTCTTGAGCGGAGCCATCAGAGCGCAAGTCACTGTGCCTGCGCCCGCTGTCCAGTACTCGCACACAGAGTCGGCAGAAGGTGCTAGAGATGTGGTGGCGCTCTTTGGAGACTTGATGCTGAGCGGAGTGCCGGGCACTGGGGATCTCGAGTCGCCCGCCTGAGCGCCCACATCCCAAACATGCACCAGGCCGCCTTCAGCACCAGCTTCGGAACCAGCTACGACGAACGTGCCATCATCCGCTACGCTAGCACGGATCTCTGCAATGATGGACGCGTGGGGGTTGGATTGAATGTATTAGCGTCGCGCAGATTTCCGATCGAGCAAGAAGTCACACTCACGGCTGGTCCTGTTACTATACGTCTTGTTGGCCTTCCACCTGGCCGACATGGACTTATCGCGCAGATTGTAAGCGCGGATTCTGGAGCTGTAGCACGGCGGCGGGAAAAAGAGAATTCTCTAGAGTCAAATCATCGGCGCTCGGGCACCGTGCTCGCCGTTTCCGTCACTCACTCGTTGGAAGTGATGAGCACCCTCTCTCCCGAGGCTCCGTCGCTCGCAATCGGTTCGATGCCCGTGATCTTCCGTCCACCTCTTGCGTTCTTGCCAGAGGGCGAACGAACGGCAATGGAGCTAGAATATGTGAGTCCATCGGTATTGTAGAAGAGAGCCGCGCCCGCAAACGTGCCGACGCAAGCCGTTGCGCCAGAGTGGGTAAAAGCGCAAGCAGTGATCAGTCCTGGAACTTCTTGAGAGCACTGCACCCTCTTCAGCGGTATGTTCCACAGCCTCAGCTTTCCATCCAAAGATCCGCTGAGGAAAAATCGATCGTCTTTGGGGTGAAAGCAGGCGGAAGTGACGAAATCGCCGTGGACGAAGCTGACGAGGGGATTGGGCGTGGACAGGTGCCACAGGCGCGCAGTCTTATCCATGCTCGCGGACAAGAGGAAGCCGCCCTTGGACCACGAGAGATCCAACACGTCGTTGGTGTGCCCTCGGAACTCGCGGACAGGCTCTGAAGAGAAGACCGGCAGGTCCGGCACGCCATTGTTGCCCCCCGGCGTGTTGAAGTTGAGGCTAGGACGAGTTCGAAGCGAACCAGGTCGCGAAGCACCGCCTCCATTTGCTGTTCCCAAGCTCGTAGTCGAAGCGCTAGCTGCGCCCAATTTGCCGTCGAAAGGACAAAGTCCCGCATTGGTGGATGTCGCTTGACCATTCAACATAGCCGCAGCTCTCGCTCTCGCATCCGCAATCTCCTTTGTCCGGGCCTCCGGGGTGTCCAGCACTGCATACACCCTCACAACGGTATCTTGCCCAGCAATAGCCAAGTACTTGCCGTCCAAGCTAAACTTCATGGCCCACGTAGCTCGCTTGCGCGACGTCGCAGCCGCGTTGCTCTGCGCCGTCGAGGAAGCCGTGGTCGCGTGGCTCTGGACCGAGGCGCCGATGCTGGACATGCTCGTCATGGAGTCGCTGTGCTGCATCGGCGGCTTGCCGACGGGACCCAAACTTCGTCTTCCCAGAGAACTGTTGTCCGTCGACTGTCTGCTTGGCTCCGGACGACCCCCGACATCCGAGTTGCGACGCGAGCCAGGAGGAGAGGTGATACTGCTTGCTCCCAGATTCAGTTCCTGTACGAGCATCATTCGACCGAAATCGCGTTGTTTAGAAGGCTTGTTGCGCGATCGTACCTGTCAAGAGACCGTCACGTCACGTCAGCAGATTGATTGCATCTCGATGCTCCATACGCTTGCCAAAACCCACCTTTTGCAATCTCGGCCCGTCGATGGCAGGAACAGCTCCACGCTCCTTTCTGCCCTTTCGACCCCAGCTGCTCTGCGCAGCAGCCCCATCAAAGCTTCCCGCCGCGCTCAAAGGTCTAGGCCTGGAAGCTCTCGAGGCGATGCTGGCCGCATCATCGAAGCTGACATCGCTAGTGATGATAGAAGGCGTCTTTGGAGTTTCAGGCACAGGAATGCTGGACGCTTCTGGGACTCTGTTCGGAGTCGAAACGCCCCACTTTTTGCCTGTGCCTACAACGGCACTGGAAGCCGAGTCGTCCCTGCGCATGCCTCTTCCGATTCGCCAGAATCCCGCACTACTCGACCCGCTTGGTGCTCGGTTCAGCGAGTTTGCAGTGCCGGGCGTCCGTGGACTGAATAGGCCGGAGGCGGCGCTGTGTGGCATCTGCGCCGTTTGAGGGGTTGCAACACTGCCAACGTCGCTCGTGGAAGCCATAACCTCTTCGTCGTCCGTGTTCACTGCGCTGCCGTGGCCCGAATTGGTGCCCGAACTTCCGGCAACGCTGGCCAACAAGGATCCGGCACTGCCTTCCTGCGTCCGGCCCTTGCGGCCAAAGAAGTTCAATCTAGTAGCTCTGCGCGGCGAAGGTGCATCGAGGGGCGTAGGAGTTGTGATGGGCGAGGCAGAAGGACCTACCTTGGAGCTGGCCGCATTGGCAGTCGAAGGCGTGCTAGGCGCAACTTCGCTCGCAATTCGTCGGGCCGAATCGGGCGTCGAAGCTCCCCTCTTGTTATCGAGAGCAAATGCTTTGGGGGTTTTGCTCCTGCTCTCGTCCCATTCTGTGGCACTCGCTACGTCGGCTTGACCCAGCTCCGCTTCCTTCTCCGCATGCGGTCTGGGAGTGCTAGCATTCTGACGAGCTTGACGTTCGCGCCTTTGCTGTCTGCTCCCGCTATTCAGCTCCCTGATGCTAGCGCCTCGCGTGCCCAGCACCACCTTTTCCCTGCTCTGCCTTTCTGCCATCATCTGCGCAGGAGTTCTGGGCCGACCGAGCGGATCCTCCAGCGCTTCTCCATCCCCATCGCCGTCCGTCTCGAGATCTCCTTTCGATCCGCCTGCAGAAGTCAGGTCGGACATGGCTGTGCCGAGCGATGGCGACAAGACCTGGGCTTGATTGGGCGAGCGGGGTGGCCTTCCAGCGACTGGTGTCGGCTCGAATCTGTCGTCCTCGACCCACCCTGCAATGGGTGACATCTCCTGCACCGGGGACAACTCATCCGGCGGTGTCCTGCGTGTGCAAGTGTAGGCACGTGGGTGAGCAGGGTTCCCCAAAAGCTCGACTTGCGACTTTACGACAGGCGCCAGCGTTCGCCTGTAGCCGCACACTCACAAAACAAGAGCAGGAGCGTACTGCGTGCGTTCCGTGGTATCGCGCACAACTTCTCCAGTCTCTTGGGCTGCGCCGCGTGTGACGTGTTCCAGATGAAGCGAGCCCGCGGGAACGGCAGCAGCGCGACCACAGACGTCCGAAATGGAATCGATGGGAGAAGGAACGTAATGTCCGGGCATATCCGGTGGGCGCGGAGTAAGCGAGCGGGCGCGCGATCGAGTCGAGACGTCGTCGAAGGAGCATCGCGTTTTGAGCGTCAACACCGGCCGAGCGTGATGCGTGAGCAATTCATCGCGAGAGGATTGGGAAGAGTCGTCCAGAGTGACCAGCGATGAGGCGTCCGATGATGGAGATGTTTGTGCGCGCGAGTCGACGTAGTCGACGCGCACGGGCGCGGTCGAGGTGGTCGTACGATTGGCGATACGATGGCCATCGGACAGTGTGAGGGTGGAAGCCACAATGGCGGGAATACGAAAGACGAGGGATGGCATGACGTGATTGCGTGCACGCGTGACGGCGAAGGAGTGGTAAGACGTGCGCGACGTCGTTGCGTGACCGAAGCGAGTGACGACGATGGGCCGGTGATGGTGTTGAGGCGGAGAGCAAAGAGTTAGAAGGGATGGGTGTATGCGACGTATTCAGGTATATTGGCGTCGTGGTGAGACGAGACGCGATGAAGCGGGCAGTCGGCAAGCGTACGTATCGATCACGGCGGGATCGGACGGCCGCAGTCATGCACGGATCGGGCGCGCAGGGGAGGCAGAGGAGAGGTAAGAATCAGGGTGAATTTAGTCAGCTCCTTATCTCGTCAAGCTGTGGCAGCGATGATGTGGGTGCGGACAGCTCTGACAGTCGCGCCGTGAGGTCAAGGTGTGGCATGCGGGTGGAAATGAAAGGACACTCTGACTCGTGTCTGGTCTCGCGCGCATTTCCTGCAAGCGCGAGGATGATGTGGTCGATATGATGTGGGCGCGTCTGATGGCAAGCAGCAGCAGCGAGGGCACTTGTAGAACCCTGCAAGCGCGTACGAATATATATGCTGCCAGCAGGTGCGTGCCATTCGGTTCACCAGCACCGCAGAGCTCGATGTCGCCATCCGCGCGAGCCCTGTATAGAAAGATGGCTGCTGATCGATTCCAAGCATGCAGCAGCCTCCGCCCAACGCACGGGCCTGCCTCGAGGAGAGCGTGTCCTCTCGACAGCATATATGCGCGCTCACGCGACTTGAGACTGATGAGACTCGTGACTCTGACTGCGAATTTGGTCTGCCGGCGGGCGGGCAGGCTCGCATGCATCATCCCGACATCCTGGTCGTCAGTCTGAATGCATTCACATTCCTCCCGCCCTGCTGAATCGGCTCTGCTTCGACAGCGACAGCGACAGCGACAGCGACAGCGACAGCACCAGCAGGATTCATCGCAGGCATTAGCCAGCCAAGCATGAAGCAAGCAAGCAACCTCGATCAAGAATCGTGAATGTGCTGAAAATGGAGCAATAACGAAGCACGAAAACAGCGCTCAAAAGTCGTGAGCCGCATCATCTTCCACCAGGCGAGTCGAGAGCCACAGCATCAGCAGTGACTCGATCGCAAGAGAGAGAGAGAGAGTGCTCAGGTGCAGCATCACGTGCACACCTGCGATCATCACCATCATCATCATCATCACCCATCCAAGCAAACTTTGACCCTGATGTTGGATGCAACGCGCGCCCATCAGCCTCAATTAAGCCGGCGCCAAGCACCCGCATATCTCGCGTCGGCTAGTCTGCGCCGGCTGCTCGGGCGAAGCGCGGCCTCGAAGCTTTTCCGCCATCGGGCCGGCATGCAGCAGGCCCCGCTCACGGCCGGGTTGCATGGCCGATGCGTGACGTTGGCTGATGCTTGCGCCAGACTCGGACGCGATGACCAGCATGCTGCTGGTCGATGCTGCATCATATGAGTCATCGCGAGCGATGGGATACGCGCGCGGATCGAAGCATTCGAGCGTTCAATCATCACTCTTGCTCATCTGCTGCTTGATTGACCGTGCCTGTCCAGCAAGCGAGAGCCAGCTGATGCCCGAGACTATATATGATAGCCTAGCTGCACGCAGCATGGCGCGGCCGCGAACGCGTCCGAGAAAGATGCTCATTGGGACCAATAAAGCGGCCCCTTCATTGATGGGTGATCGCTGCAGGTGCACCAGAGAGAAGGATCGCTTCGCATCGCAGTTCTACATCATGCATCTGTGCGCACTCACCGTCACCAAGGCTCAAATGCCTGTCGCTGGTGCTGTGCGATACGCTCTCGGCAGCAGCAGGTATCCTGGGTGTTTGATCAGCACCCGCACCCGCGCTCCTCTCCTTCTCCGCTTCTAGCTGATTGTAAAAGTCAGATCCATCGCTAGCGCTTCTGGCAAAGCTGAGCGTCGTGCCTCCTGCTCTAGCTGTCGGTTTGACCAGAGCAGGCGGCATAGAAGCCGGAGCGAACGGCGTAAAAGTCTCTTCGGCTTCCGAGTCCACCTCGCTATCTTCCGTCTGCTGCGTCGTTGCGCTCCTACGTCTCCTACCTGTTCTTCGGCGAAAGTTGCCCTCTGCATTCTCTCCTAGCTCCACCTCCTCCTCCTCCTCATCATCATCATCATCGTCGTCGTCGTCGTCGTACACGCTCAAGCGCGACATGGTTGAGCTTTTGCCGCCCGAGGAGGTGGTGGAGATGGTGGATGGTCTGCGAACAGGCGGACCTGCACTTCTTCTGTTCGCGTTGCTGCGATCCGTCTGTCTCTCTTGCTTCGGCATTGCGACCAGCTGCGGTGTCGCTGCAGGCAAAGCAGCAGCAGCGTCCGTCTGAGAAGCAGAGGCGCCGCCAACAGCATCGTGCGACTGCTGATTGCCTTGCCCTTGCCCTTGCAGAGAGAGAGCAGTCTTCATCCAAGAGATCAAGGATGCTCCTCCACCTCCTGCATTCGGCGAGGAGGCTCTGACGACAGGCGGCGAAGGTGTTCGAAGCATTCCGGCAGCAGCCAATCCACGCTTGCTCTCGCTCGTATCGTTGACATCCTTGACATGTTGCTGCTGTCCAGCTCCTCGTGCTTGCTGCGAAACGCGCGGAGTGGAACTCCTCTCCATCGCGGCTCAGATGAAATGATAGGTCTGTAAGAGGTGATCGTTCGCTTCCACGTTAATTGCCGCCTAGCAGACCTCCACGCAGTGTCGAGTGGCAGAGTGCATGAATGAAGATCCAGGATCGATCGTGAGTCGAAGATGGGTTGAAAGTGCTCGCGTTGGGATATGGTGGGGGTACATAGTCATGAGGGCGCCGCAAAAGAGCTCGGCACGTACCAGTCCAGTCCAGAGCGGCGTGTCGGTGTCTCGCTCTCGCACCTTATCATGACTCACGCACGACTGCTGGCTGCCATGCGTTGCTGCGAAAGCAAGAACCACATGCTGCTTGATGGCTTATATTGCTTGAATAACATGCACGATCGACATGCACGCACCCTGCTGAATTGTATCCATGCATACATAGCAGTCACGAGTAGAGGCAGCAGCAGCAGCAGCAGCATCGCCATAGCAGTAACACGCAACACTCGACTTGCATAAGCTCAGCAGCACCCGCCTTTGCTACTACTACTCCTGCTACTGCTGCATATGCGCCGCCTTCACTCGACTGCGTTCCCCCGCGAGAAGGCTCTCATATGCATAGCATGCAAGCACATGTCAGTCCCGCACAATTTTCTTGAATGCGCTGCTGATGACTGTGCTGCGCGTAGCAATTGTATGACCCTCCCTGGGAACCGCATGGGCCCTATAGGGAGCCGCACGAGCAAGACTCGCACTCGCGAATGAGGGTCCGTCTCCCGCTCCCCGCTGTGCATGCATGTTGTGTGCAAGACGTGGCTCTGCCGTCATCCTCGGAAATGTGAAAGGCGGGGGCCCTGCTGCTGGCTGGCTGGCTGGCTGCCCGACGATGCTGCAGCGTAACTTTTGTGTGACTCTGACTCTCTGACTCACGAGCCGCAAGTCATGGGTACGATGTTTTCCATTCCATTCACGGATTGATTTGATGGATCTTGACAACCCCTCCGCTTTCGAGTACCCTGGTGGCGGGTGTGCACCGTCCTCGACTACGAGTACGACTGTCATGCTCTCCAATGACGGGACGATGTTCGCGACGTCCTTCCAGCTGCGAGCTCCTCCTCGAGTCAGATGCTTCATCGCCGGCGCCGAAAGCGCGTGTACCAATATATACGTACGCGACAAACGCCGACTTCGAGGTTCACTCCGCTCGCAAAAGGGATGCGCTGAATCAAGATCATTCCAATTTACTGCAGCGCGACGAGCGAATTTCTCGCACCATGTGCAGCAGCAATCGCTTTGAATCTTCTGCCGACGACAGGGCGACAATTGCCCAAGGCACGTGGATATTGTCATTGTGATTGCACCGAGCGAGCATCGAAAGGCCGAGGATGAGATGATCAGACGATGCACAGAACGGTTTCACGCACACTCGCGTGAGATGCGCATCAGCTCGATGAATGCTTGGCTTCGCGAGCGACTCTTTGCATCCCTTCGTCCCTCATTCTGCCCCCGGAGCCTCTCTTGCGACTAGCAGATCTCTACTGCGTCGAGGTCTCAATGTCCGCTGTATGCAACACAAGCTGGTCCACAAAGCACATTGTCCATCCCCTTACCGGCCAACTTCACCACATTTTCCGTTGAGGGAATCGTCTATCGAAAGCCTCCTTTTTCTCCTCTAGCGGAGTGAGCACCTTGTTCCTTTTGGCCTCTTCTGCAGCTTCTTTCTTTAACAAGTACTTCTGAACGTCGGGGCCACCTCTATGATACTCTACGGACCAGCCATTCGGCATGCCTGCAGCCTTGAAGAACTGACCGTCGCGCGTCAGCGGGATTGGATCGTGCATGTCTGACCAGATACGTTTGGAGATGGGATACATGTTGTTCGTGTGCTTGGTCCAGCGCTCCATGTGGCCTACTACGCGGTTCGCAGCCCGAAGATCTTCGCTTGGATGCTCTAGGTAGAGACGACCAACGTCCATGTAGTGTAGTCGCCCCTCGTGCTGCTTTGCATGGTCGTAGAGACCATCTTGCACGCTCTTGGGAATGTGGCCAGGGTAGCTCTGCACGAATTGATGCATCAATTTGTGCCTTCTCTCTGCATCGCTGGGCAAGCGTCCCTTCGGCATCTTGAGCGGACTCTCGTCGATGAGAGCAGAAGTGCTCTTGCTCCTGTCGAGTCCCGTTCTTTTGTTCTTTGGAACCTCGCCGGGCTTGGTAGGCTCCTTGTACAGCAGATCCGACGAGCTCTTGCTCTCCCTCAATACCGGATACTTGTCCCTTGTCAACTTGCGATACTCGTGCACAGGATGCAAAGCCGGATGAGGATCCTTCCACTCCCTCTCCAGCTCTTCACGAGAAGAAGGTACGTGGACGTGACGATGTTTTGGGTCTTCAGGCGGTGGCTTTGGCTCGTTCAGCGTCTGTTTGATGGTCGGAGGTCTACCCTCTCCATTCCAAATGAGCCTCTCTCGAAAGTCTGCGATGCTACTTCCCAACGCTTTGCCTGCATCTTTTTCGCGTTGAGCTGCTTTTTCGTTGTAGTCTTCCGGCAAATCCCAGCTCGGATGCACCTTGCGAATCCCAGTGGTGGGATCTTTTGGCATAATGTCGTTCGCTCTCCACCAGTGACTGGTGGAAGATTGTGCGTCCTTAGTCAGACCACTCAGAATGTTCTGTGTGGCGGTGAAAGGAGAAATGCAGACGACTCAGCCGCACTGCGATCTGCGATCTGCGCGAGGAGGGAGACGGAGCTTGCTGCGCACCTGGCCTAGGCCTCGTCGAGAAACATTGTCGACCTGGGAAATTTGGCCTGAGCAAGCTTTCGCGACGCTGAGTGCATGTCTGCTCGGGGCAGGAAGTGCTAACGTGCTGTACGAAATTAGACTGGTCGCTGCCAGCAGACCAGCTAGGGTAGCCAGCATTCTGGTGACAAGACGGAAACCAGGGAGCCCCGGAAGAAAAAGAAAAGTTGCGCAAGGCTTCGACAAGCTGAGACCACTGCGCTGAGTCGAAGGCAAGGCGAGTGTGAGACCTCATAAACTTGTGCCAGCGTACAAGGCGGGTGAGCGCGGAACGCAGAAGAGCTTCGTGGACGTTTATATACATCAGTCGAACACCATCACGCCACTCGAAGCATTACGAGGCAACGAACTTCAACGGTCTCGGTCAAGAGGGCACCGAGAGAATGGCGCAGCGCCGCCTTCAACGAGTGGCGCGATGAGGCTTTGGTCATGGCAAAGTCAGCGCTTCTCGCTGGAAGCATTCCTTCCACCGAGACGGTCAAGTGGCAAATCGTGGCGTAGTACCATGAACGTCATTTCCGGTTCTTGGTCGTTCCAGGACCGATCACATTTCGAGATGTCAGCTCGTGGTTGATACCAGAGAGCCCCAATTTGGCTCCGTCGAGGACGGAAAAGTGAATTCGAGCTGTGAACTCCGCAAATGGAGTATAAGAGTCTGATGAAGGATGATCTTTTAAACGACGATAATGCAGCAGTCACGAGGAGTGGCGCGCTCGATTCCCGCGAGCTTGCGCCCAAGAAGCGCGTCTGGGAATTTTTGCGGGGACGCGCAGGGTCACGAGTGATGTGGGTCTGTCACGTGATCCATGATTCCAAGGTTCTTCGCAGCGACGCACACCAGGCAGCACGTACACCTCTCATACATGATCACAGCAGCGCTTTAGGAGGACCACTTGACTCGCCTCTCAACCACCATACCACACACCGCTTCCAACATCCGTTCTCCCGTAGATCGCACCTCGCCCCGGCCTTCATCCTTGCCTTTCCGTCCCGATCTCCAAGCACAGCTGGCAGAGACGTGAAATCACCCATCAGCGCGCCCTTCTCTGCGCTAGCATTTGCACTTGCACTTGCGGACCTCACGCCACGCGGCAGAGAGCTCGAGATGGACGACTACGACGAGTTTGGAAATTATATCGGAGCGCTTTCTGACTCTGACGACGACGCTTCGTCTTACGGGGGAGGCGAGGCGGCTGTCGGTGCCGGTGCCGGCGCGAGCGCAGGGGGAAGGTATGGCCAAGGAGATTCACCTGCTCCATTAGCCGGCTTCGACGATGAGGATGAGGAGGCAATGGACGAAGATGATACGGGCGCAGGTGCGAGCGGTGCACTGATGAGGATCGACGAGTCAGCGAGCAACGCAGTGGTGCTGCACGAAGACAAAAAGTACTACCCTTCCGCCAACGAAGTGTACGGCGAAGATGTGGAAGCGTTGGTGCAAGAAGAAGATACTCAACCCCTCACTCAACCCATCGTAGAACCGGTCAAAGTGCGGAAATTCAACATAGAGGAGAAAGGTTTGCCGCAGACGCGGTTCGAGAGGGAATTCATGATGAACCTCATGAATTTCCCTGAAATGGTCAGAAACGTCGTCGTGGCGGGTCACCTGCACCACGGCAAGACTAGCTTGCTGGACATGCTTGTACAGCAGACTCATGTTATGCCGATCGACACGGACAGGCAGGTGAGCAAGAGGTAGGGTAGAGGCAGCTAGACAGACGAGCAAGCGGCCCAGTGCCGTGCCACCTGCACGCATACACGCATACAAGCTGACGTTGTGTTGCCGCCTTTGGCCAGGAACGCTATACGGACATCTCCGAGCTGTCAAGATCGCGTGGCATCTCGCTCAAGTCCGCTCCTCTGTCCCTCGTGCTGCCTACAACCCGCGGCAAGTCGCATCTGGTCAATCTGCTAGACACGCCAGGTCACCCCAACTTTCTGGACGAGGTGGCTGCCAGCACCAGAGCTGCGGATGGCGTGGTCCTCGTCGTGGATGTCATTGAAGGTGTTATGATAGGCGCTGAAAAAATTATTGAGCACGCGATCGTGAGTGCCGCCGCGGCTGCTATTCTTGATCTAAAAGTTGGGAGGTGCATCTGACCAGACCTTTGCTCCTCGTTCGTCCAACCCGCAGCGCGATGGGTTACCCATTGTCCTCGTCCTCAACAAGCTGGACCGCCTCATCTTGGAACTTCGTTTGCCTCCCAGCGAAGCGTACTTCAAGATTCGTCATTCCATCGAAGAGGTGAACAATGTGATCGCCCGCTTTGACAAGAACCCAGCTCGCCGTCTAGGACCCGAGCGCGGCAACGTAGCTTTTGCGAGCACGCAGACGGGTTGGTGCTTCACCTTGCGGAGTTTTGCCAAGCTGTATTCTGACAAGGTGGATGTCGAAGAGTTTGCCAAGCGCCTTTGGGGCAACATTTACTACTCCCCCGAGAGTCGCAATTTCAGTCGAAGAGCGGCAGATCCGGAGAGCAAGAGGAGTTTCGTGCACTTCATCTTGGAACCCATCTACAAGATGTACACGCAGGTACTCTCTTGCGACTCGGACGACCTCAAGAGGACGTTGGCTGGGTTGGGAATCTTCTTCAAGCCGGCAGTGTACAAGATGGACGTGAGACCGCTGCTCAGACTCGTGCTCAACACATTCTTTGGCAACGCCACGGGCTTGACGGACATCATCGTCGACAACGTTCCCAGCCCTCTGGACGCTGCTAAAAGTAAGATAGATCGTATTTGGGTCGGACCTCGCGAAGGACCTCTGTACGAAGGCATGACCACTTGCAACGCCGACGGTCCTCTCGTCGTGGCGGTGTCGAAGTTGTACTCCACGACGGACGCGCAGGGTTTTCGAGCGTTTGGCAGGGTGTTGAGCGGCACCGTGCGCAAGGGAGATAGGGTGAGGGTGTTGGGTGAAGGGTTCAGCCAAGACGATGATGAGGATATGGCTCTAGCTACCGTCGAGAATGTGTGGGTGAGCGAAACGCGGTATGCTGTGGAAGCCGAAGGCATACCGGCTGGATGCTGGGCTTTACTTGGAGGCGTGGACTCGAGCATCACCAAGACGGCTACGATAGTGGGAGCCGAAGTACCCCTTGAAGACCTTCACATCATCGCTCCGATCTCGCACATCACTCGCTCCATTCTCAAAATTGCCATTGAGCCCCTCGTACCTTCCGAGCTGCCGAAGATGCTCGAGGGATTGAGAAAGGTCAACAAGAGCTATCCTTTGGCGATCACCAAGGTGGAAGAGAGCGGAGAACATATCGTGCTTGGAACGGGAGAGCTGTACCTCGATTGCATCCTGCACGACTTGAGAAAGTTGTATGCGGAGATGGAAATCAAGGTCAGCGATCCCGTTGTGCGCTTTGCCGAAACGGTGATCGAGACGAGCGCCGTCAAGTGCTATGCGGTCACGCCCAACAAAAAGTGAGTCGGATAAGATGGCCGAGGTCTGCGTGTGGGCAGGGGACTTACATGGGAAACATCTCAACGATGAATGACAGGAACAAGATCACGGTGATTGCTGAGCCCCTCGACAAGGGTTTGGCAGAGGACATTGAACAAGGTCGGATCAACATACGGATGCCTCCGAAAGAGCTAGGCAAATATCTGCAGCAGGTGAGCAACATATCTTGTTCGTGTCCTGCGCCAAGAGCACTGACCCTTTTCGACTTTGGCCTGTCGGTAGCAATACGACTGGGATTTGCTGGCATCTCGATCTGTCTGGGCCTTTGGTCCTGAGGACAATGGTCCGAACATACTTGTGGACGATACCTTGCCAGACGAAGTGGACAAGAAGCAATTGTACAGTATTCGGGAGTCTATTCGGCAAGGTTTCCAGTGGGGTACTAGGGAAGGACCGCTGGCAGATGAGCCCATCAGGAACGTCAAGTTCAGAATCCTTCACGCCGAGATCGCACCAGAGGCTATACATCGAGGAGGAGGACAAGTCATCCCTACAGCTCGAAGGGTATGCTACGCCGCCCTGCTGCTCGCCACTCCTCGTCTGATGGAGCCCATCTGCTACGTGGAAGTGCAAGCTCCAGTGGATTGCGTCGCGGCGGTATACACGGTCTTGGCGCGCAGGAGAGGTCACGTGACTCAAGATGTTCCCAAACCTGGCTCGCCACTCGTCACTGTCAAGGCCTTCATCCCCGTCTTGGACGCCAACGGTTTCGAGACGGACCTCAGAACGCAGACGCAAGGTCAAGCATTCTGTCTACAAATCTTTAGCCATTACGCCGTCCTACCGGGCGACCCCTTGGATAAAACAGTCTCCCTCAGAGCCCTCGAGCCTGCCCGAGCCCTGGAATTGGCCAGAGACGTGTGTCTGAAGGTGCGAAGAAGAAAGGTGAGTGTGGCTGCGAACCCTCGCACATTGTGAAAAAGGTATGCTTTTGTGCCTTGTGGAGGCAACGCGCTCATAGTCCCCCTTTTCACTTCTTGACTCCGCACCACAGGGCCTCAACGATAATGTTAGCATCGCCTCTTACCTCGATCAAGACCTCGTCGTTGCGCTTTCCGCCGGAGGCTACGATTTGAGTTGAAGGGGCGGGGAGAGGGGACAGCGTGCGCAATCAGATGAGCCCCGCTTTGCTTATCGTGTGCTCTGCCTCGTTTGCGATCGAAAGAGTGAAGATGTGATTTTGCGATGAGGTAGTGTACATTTCGAAACAGTTGAGAGATGATACAGCGGGTGATCAAGCGCCTTGAAAAAGGGGTCGCGGATTTTGCGCCGCAGAAGGTGCAAGACGACCTTGGAAGTTGAGATCAGCATCCATCCAACCCTCCCGCTCTAGTCCGCCTCACCTTCCTCTGGACTTTCAGATGCGGGGCGCGGCTGTTTGAGCGTGGGTGACAGAGGAGCTTTGTCCGCGCGAGCAAGACCTGCAGCGGGCGATGTATGCTGCGTTGGCGCCGACGATTGGCCAGCTGAGGCCACTTCTTTGGGAGCGCCAAATGGAGCCAAATGTCTCCCAAGGCCATGCCTTGAAGGAGGTCTGGTGTTCAGCGCGCTCTTCCTCTCCTCCCTGCCTTCATGAAACGAAGTGTTGGAGCCTTCAAATCCTTCGTTGCCCGTCATTTCAAAGCGTGCTTGCACGTTGGACGGCGTTGTCGTCGTCGTCTCTCTTGGTAGAGTGCTTTGTCGAAGCGCACTATGCATGCTTCCAGAGGGATGACCCGGCGTGTTGCTGGCCGATTCCATGGGCGTACGGGTAGCCAAGGGCGTGATGGGTGGAATAGGCGTTCCTTGGCCAGACACGCGCTCAACCGCTTGTTGCACAGTGCTGTCGGGAGGCTCGGAGTGGGGCTGAGAGCCTCCTGATGCTAACGCTGCGTGCGCCTGAGCTTGAGCTTGCAGCTCCCTCTGTTGTTGCGCGTAGAAAGCGAGATATGAGGAGACGGATGGAAGTGCCTCTGATCGGCACGGGCAGCATACGAATTTGAGCAGCGCAACGTTAGCGTGGTGATAGAGGCATTCGGCAGCCCTTCGAATCGTAGACACAGCGCCGCTCACCTTGCAGCTCGCTCTCGTCGACGTCGAATGCGTCCAACCATCCCTGACTAGGTTCGTCGATGCCTGGCGTTCGGAAACCTCTTTGAAGCTGGAACTCTTCAGCGAGGAGCCCCACTGCTGCGCACGCCTCGGAAAACACGCAAGCAGCAAGAATGGGGGCGTCCCAGAAAGTGCAGACCGCATTGTAAAGGCTGTACGAGGAGAGATTGTGTGCGTCGATTGGTGAGCGTCTGCCAGCTTGCGACTCCGGTCACGTGCTCGATGAAGAATGAGCAGCCTACGTGCTCACCAATTGTTCATGAGTGCCACGCTAAGCAGTGTCAGGTCTCTGTCCACGCCGAGTGCTTTGCAGCCCTGGATCAGGTGTTGATGAGGGGCGTCGATGATGAGATCGAAACAAAGAGCTTCCAGGACTGCCGCTTCGCAATAGCATACACTTTCCCTCCATGCGGCGTATTCCTAAGAGGCTCGATGAGCGACGCGCAGCGCAAGCAGGTCAGCATTCGCGGGCTCCCTGGCAATGCCCGCTCGTCAAACAAAGAAACTTACCCTGCCCTCGACGTCGACGGTGTAGTTGCCTCTCTCGGCAGCCCTGATGCCCTCTTTGGTCTTGTCATTCACAGCCATAGTGACAGTCACCAGCTTGTCCGTCCTCCGATGTGATTCCTCCACCTTGCAGGCGAGCCACAACGCTGCTGGGGCGACCTCCTAGAAGGTCCAAAGAGGCGGGAGGCGAGATGCGTCCGGATCAGCTTGCGAATGAGGTCTTCGAGCAAAAAGCGAGACAAAGGAACCAAGAGGGTTGGGAAGATCGCTCACATGCACGCTGAAGCTCTCTGGCGCACGCGTGTCCATCGAGCCAGAGTTGACGTGATTCCGCCTGTGATCGCCAGGTGCCAAGATGGTCTTGCGCATGAAGAAGCGGTGAAAGAAGATGGCGGCTGTGGCCATGACATTCATGCCGCTGCAGTAGTGAGAGTGTGGATGCTCATCAGCTTCAACGGCAAAGTCGGCGACACAAGGAAAAGTGTGCTTCTCGTATGCGGGCGCACTTGCCAGGCGAACTTACACGCGCAACCCTTCGCCCGTCCTGAAGATCAATCCTACGCCCTTTGCCCGGAGGTACCTTTCCGTCTCTTGACTCATACCAGCCTTTGCGCTGGGTGTATGCTCCATGTCTGCCGGCCTGAAGAGCCATTGGGGAGCATCTAGCTTGCGCCCTTCTGGCTGACCGGCCTGGCGCTGTTCCTGCTGCTCAACCTGCGCACTGTGCTCCGTCTCAATGGCCGATGATGCCTTTTCTACACGCGAGGCACTGGGGTCGCTAGGATTCAAAGACGGGCTGACAGTGGTGTAGGCAGGCGATGTCAGGTGGCTGCCATTGTTGATTGCGCTCGCCTGTGCCGTTGGAGGAGAAAGGAGTGTGGACATGTGGAGCAAGTCAATGATGCAGCGATGGTACGCGAGTGGAGAGCGGAAGAGGTTGATGATTAACGTGGAACCCGCACGATCGAATGAAGTGCAGTAGGAGCGATCAGATCCACGATGGCATGGGTGCACGCTACCAGCGATGCGGCGATGATGGTGTGGAAGGAGAGCGAGCCGGAAATTGCTCGACTATTCTGATTACATCGATTGTGAATGAGGACCGGACCACGAGGGGATGCAGCGGAGGTGGAGAGTCTTGAGTGAGAAGAAAGATCGCGCTGCCGCTTGGTCGCGTCTGTGCGCGGTGCATGCACACAGGAATCACGTGTCGGCGGACGCGTCAAGAGCGCTTTCTTCCACGACTTTTGGGATGATTCGCTTCGTCATGGTTTCCGCATCCTCTTGAAGTCACGACTACCGGTACCGGTACCTCGAGGCGGGGGTTTCATTCGGCTTCAAATCAGAATTTCTTGTTTGAATTTTTCCAAGATTGCACGTATAGCCACAATTTTGCCTCAAATCTGTACCACTAAATCACGAGTGCTGATACCCTTGATGGCACTTTAGCTTTCTTGTCATCGCACGCGCGCGCTCCTTCTCCGCTTCCGACTATCGTGAATCGCAGCTCAGCTCTAGACATGAGGAGCCTGAGCGCATTCTACAGACCCCGTTTCGTGTCACGAGCGATTCCGGAACGCACATGAATGTGACAAGATGGTCCTCGTCCTGTACACCTGATCGCATCGTCTGCTCGGTGTTCACGACGCGAGGCTTGGTGGAAAGTCATGAGCCGACTTCCAGTCTGAGGTGATGTCCGCACCAGCGCGAAAAGGCCGTGCTGTACGGAGTCAATTGGCAACAAGAGCAGACGTGTATGGCAAGCCTACTCAAGCACGCATCTAGCCCTACGGTCCTCTTTCCACATGGCAAGTCGGGAATGTTTTAGTCGACGCCTTTGGGCAGAGGGCAGCGGAAGGCGTCGGAAAGATCACCCACATCGTCTTCTTGAGAGGTACAGACGAACGTCAGTCTGAGTAGCGCCTACACTGCGTGGTCAGTCGGAGCGTCGACGATGTCTCGTACAGGGCAAGCTTGGCGTCAACGAAGGTCGAATGCGTTTCGCACTTTGCTTTGTTGATCCTCTACAGTATGCTAATAGCCTCAGCCTCAGCGACCGGAATAGTATCGCGGCGTCCAAGGTCACGAGGCAGGCTAGGAAGACTTGCACGTTGGCTGAATCGAGGCGCTAAATACGGAGTGAATACCGAATCACGGCGACCTGCTTCTCGCATCCATGGAAGAGCAGATACGAGCTGCTGCATGCAGCTGCTCGCCCGAAGAGTTACGAGCGGAGCAATGCTGCGCCTCGGAAAAGTCGGCGAGTCTTGGTGAGAATGCGCCAATTGCCCCGCCGGCCAACTTTGCGCGTCATCCAACAGTCACGAGTGACGAGTTTATGTAGCGTCTCAAGGTGAGGCTGAGCCAAGCAGTCCAGTGCACGGACTTGGCCGATGCCAGCAGCGAATGAATCGTCTTTAACAGTCGTGAGCGATATGGCAGTCATGACAGGTGCGGACTGGATGTTAATCGTTTGTAAACCAGAAAAGCGGTGCAAATGACGCAGCTGCACAGCGGAAAGGGGGACAGATGCATGGCGTTCAGGTGAGCTTATTTGAATTCGACTAGTCCAGCGACGCCACACGCTAAAGAATCTTCTTTCCCCACGTTTCAACGCCCGTCTAGTAAGAATGCTATATAGCGACTAAACTCGCCTAAGCACTCGATCACACTCACGACTGCTGCTTGTCTTCCCGGGCGAACCCGAATTCGATTTTCAGGCACCACAGTCAGAGTGGACGCGCCAGAGCGAGTCGAGCAGAAGCAGCAGCAGCAGCAGCAGCAGCAGCAGCAGCAGTAGGAGCAGCCGCTATAGCGAGCGAGCAAGCAAGCAACCAGCAACAGCAGCTGAGATAGCAGACGGGGCATTCCGCATGTCGGCGTCTTTTTACAGGCGCATGGCGCATGCATGCACGCACGCATGCAGCGCGGCCATGGTCCGCCAGCAGAATGACATTCAGCAGCGGAAGAGTAGGCGCGCGCGCGTGATGCACCATTTGCTTGGTGCCCATGCATTCACCATTCGGAGCTAAATTAGCGCGTCACGCCCACAAGACGCACGCACGCACGCGCCTTTCGCTGCTTTTCCGCTTCGCATGGCTGCCTCAGTCACGTCGTGTTGTTCGACGATCACATTGGTGAGGCGCCGTCATTGAGCGTGTTGACATTCAGCCTTAATCAAGATTGTGGCACCATATCCCGCAAGCCACGAGTCAGTGGCACGCCCTCGCAGCTGAATGGCCCAACATTTCGCCGAATGGATGATAGCACTCAGACTGTCCGACTGCACCGCACCTTCGTTGCAGAGACGGTTCTCTTAGCCCCAATCAGCCGTCGCATCTTGGCATTCACGAGTTGTGGCCGCTGCAAAAGCCAACGTGGGGATGCACGGATGCGCGGCTGCAACATGTGCTGAAAGAGCAATCCCGGGAGCTGGACCTTTGATCACCGTGGCCCCATCGCAGCGCAGATGCAGATTCGTATGAGCGCACAGCCCTGCTGATCGCGCGCCACAGCTGTCCGCGCGGAACAGTCCAACACCTGACGAAACACCACAGATACTGCACTTTGAACCGTGCCTCTGCAAGAACCTCCCCTCAAGTACCGTTCGAAGTGCAAAATCGTCACTTGGTCCGCTAGCCAAGGCGATGCAAAATTAGCGTGGGCGTCAAGGTGTGGTACTCGGCCAAGCTAGCGTCGATAGCAGCTGCCATCGTCGCTTTGCTGTCCTACATGCAACTGTATCTCTCACAACAACACCTCACCTTCACGTATCTTCGCGGTCTCCTTCTTGCAGCCCCCGCTACGATGCGGAATGGCCCCCCACTTCGACCGCACCAAGAAGGCGACGTTGATTGGCCATCATTGTGCAGCGGCAAGTTTTTTTTTTTTTTTTTTCTTGCTTCCTTCCGTCGGAGAGCGGTCAGAAACGCAGAGAGCACAGTCATGGGGACAAGTATGGAAGCTGGGCGGTGTCATGGTCAGCTCCAGCATTCAGTATACGTCATGAAGAGTATGACAGAGGCGGTGCGAGCAACAGTCTTGGTCGAAGGCAAAAGACGACGGTCGTGAGGTGTACGTATGGCACGGTCGACGGGATGACCGAAAGGTATAAGAAGGGCCCTCGAATCGAACATCCTCTTCCCTCTTTTTTCCTCATCAAAACATTCTCAACCAACAAGCTCATCAAAGCAAACTTGAAGCACTCAGCTCTCTAATCGAATCCACTTCGACAATCTAAAACCCAGATTCAAAATTCTCAAGATGAAGTTCTTCGCCATCGCCAGCACTTTCGCCATCGTCGCTGCTTTCGCCAGCGCTGCTGCAGTCGACTCCTCCTTCGAGCTCGTCGAGGCACGCGAGACTCCCACCTGCCTCATCGACGGTGCCATTAGCGGTGTGAGTTGCGCTTCGCAGACTGCATCCACGTTCTATGGCCGATGGCGAGCTGCTGACTCTCTGCCAAATCTCTCTCATCCGCCTCTTTCCCACCGTAGGCCTGCAACCTCAAGTGCGAGCACCGCGGAGCCAAGTCGGGCAGCTGCTCTTCGGGAACTTGCGTCTGCTCTTACCGCAAGCGTAGCGAGGATGAACACTCGGCCATGATGGCCAAGCGCGCCGAGGACCTGGCAAGCCGAGACTTGGTCCGTCGTCTCTCTTGCCAAGTCGGAAACATTGGTCCTCTCAACTCTGGAGACGCCCTCTGCTCCGCCTCTTGCCTCGACGCTACGGGCGGAAAGAGTGAGTATGCAGCGCATGCGCTCCCCTTCTTGTTGCTCATTCGCACACTGACCACACACGCTTCTTGACGCTTCACAGAGGACGGACACTGCAACGAGGACTCGGTCTGCATCTGCAACAAGTAAATGCTCGGCCTCAAGAGTTCAATGGTCAAGAGGACATACAGCCGCTCAATCATGTCGTTCTCGCCAAGCGTCTACCCAGCCGGTTCTGGTGGGCTTGTCGAGGGCCACCAATATCTTACTTACAACATCTAAAGGCTTTCGAGCTCAGATTATGACTCTCCCTAATCTCCCGACCATTCCCCACTTCTTTGTACCTCTAGCCGTTCACACCTGAATTCTACTACTACTTCTTTACATTTCTTTCTTGCGCTGAGAGTAGGTGGTAGAGCGGCAGTTTTGGGGGAAAGGCGAGCTGTTGATGAGGACTGCGCACCTCATGAAGCGGTCGCTAACCAAGATCATGATCTTCACAAGGGGCGACGTTTACAGGTTTGGGGATGCGTGGAGTGCGCCGCGGCTCGTCTGATCGATAGCCTTGGCATGCGCATCCTTCTTTCTACATCGGCCTTTCCTGCGGAGGAGAGTTGGCGCGTCATGAGAGCTGCCTCCTCAAGGAGGTCCTCCTCCTCAAGGAGGAGCAATTTATGCCGGAGCATGGCGGGCCTGGCAGTACGATGTCATGGCAAAAGAAAAAGTCCTGCGGGAGTTGAAGACCTGGAAACGGACAAGCTTGTGCGCGAGCTACGATCATCATGACCATCATGGGCTGCAAAACGCACAGGCAAAAAAGTTGCCTACATATCTGACCAGTTCAAGCTCGAGCTTGTGGATGCCAGACCGCAGAGTGGTACGAGTTTTACGACGAGAGGGTGGTTCTTGTCGGATCGATAAGCGGCTGGAAAAAGTTAGCGCAGATGAGCCATCTCGAAATGGACCGAGAGTGAGGTGGCTCGCCAAGCCGCAGAATTCACAGCTCGATCGTCCAGCGCACTTGAAGGGTCGTTCATGAAGAGAGACTCGAAGTGAAGTTGCGAGTCGCCGCAACACCTAGTGCGCGACTGACTCTCAAGGAGAAGCAGCATGTCGCTAGAAGCGTAGGGGGAAGCGCACTCAGACTTCGGACCAGTATCTGAGTCTTAGTGATTCACTGTGGTGCAAAGGAATTGCATTTCTGGTTGCGATGCAGGATCACGAGATGACATCGCTACAGAAAACATTCGTGTTTAGAGCCTGAAATTGGTGTTTAGGACCCGTCAGCAATCCGAGTCAGTTTTGTGAGTGAACGATGACGGCTCTTGTGATCTTCAGTCATGCTTTACAAGCGCGTATGTACATGCACATACATGCATGGGAGAGCGCGCGGCGCGCGTTACACTTCTGACATTCGGGTTGCTGTGTAGTTCGACAGCAGTGTTCATTCCCTACGAATTCTTCACTGTCGAATGTCTCGTGACCCCTTGACCACCCAGCACTCTCGATCAGAACCTTGCACCAACGCCTGACGAGCGCGCATTCCTTGTTGACTTCGGTATGAGATTGGCCAGCGCGAGCCCGCGCAAAGTGACAGTGGACCGCACCGGGGGGTCGTTTGTCTCGAGTTCCCATGCACACAAGACGCATCCGTGCCGCGATGACCCTGCCCTTGCAAGGAAGGGCCACAAGTCAGCGAGAGAGCCGCTTGCGAGGCAGCCACCAGAAAGAGAGGACAGAGAGAAGAAGATCGAGAGGTGCAATGAAGTAGCAAGGCGGCGGGAAAGATCGGGCGGCGAAGACATCGAACGGCAAAAGGCGGAATGGTCAAGTACGCAGACAAAAAAGCAAGGAGAAATCGTTTGTCGGATCAATCTCGGCATCGTTTTTTGTGATCACGCTCTCTATGTTCTGACCAATCCCGCTCGGGCCCCATGGCCGTGTACCAAAGTGGTTACTGGGATGGTCTAGAATTTATCGGAATCGATTCCCCGCGTGGGTTCGAAACCGTGACAACCATTGGGTTCGCCCGCGCATGTTCGAATCATGCCACGGTCGATTTTTAGGGCGGATCACCACCACCATCACCCCCTTTTGTTGCGCGTCCGCGTGCTTCGAATCGTGACCTGGTCACCACCACCACCACCACCACCATCGGCCGCCATCACCACCACCATCACCCCCTTTTGTTGCGCGTCCGCGTGCTTCGAATCGTGACCTGGTCACCACCACCACCACCATCTCATCCCCGCTGCACGCGCCACGTGGCATAAAATGCCACGAGGCTGTTAGCGTGCCAACATGGGATTGTGCTCGCTCGTCATCAACATTCGAGCTTATTCTTATCTTTTGGCGTGTATTCTCGAACATGCTCTTTTGTAGCATGTTTTCCCGATCACGCTATATTTCGACAGCACGTGCCTGCTGTCATCTCTCTCGACTAGGATCGAGCCTTTTGTGCAATTCTTTTCGCCACATGTCACTCTCGCCCACGTCAAGAT